GCTCTTATTGCCTTGCTATTGTTCGACGGAGGTATTCCTTGAAGTTAGAAATTCTCAGAAGTTTCCCGCAGACAGAAGTTCTTGTTTTGAAATTTTATATTTTGGTTAATGTTTATCAATTTTGTATTGCCCTTGTATAATTTTTGAGACAGTGTTGAATAATCCCTCCTGTGGTATCAGAAAGGAGAAGGAAGCGGGAAAGTATCATGAGCATATCAGGATACAATCTAACTCAACTGGACACAGTTACGAATCATTATTTGGCAGATTTCTTGACGAGACTGTAACAGCTGTCGATTTAGAGGATCCATATATACGGTAAGTTTTCATCTAAAAGTAAATTTTGTCATCCCCCAACCCGAGGGGGGGGGATGATTTTTGTACCCTGGGGATTAGAAATATAAGAATTTCGCAACCCATTTTTACACTTAATACGATGAATTTATTTATTTTTCCCTATAACTTATTTATTTTTCCCTATAACTTATTTATTTTCAAATTCAGCGAAGAAATCTCAATAAAGTTTTGCAGACGTGGGGGGGGGGGGGGCTTAAAATAAAGGACCAGTAGTATTATTGCAGATCAATTTTTAACCGACATTAAATAGAAATGAGAAAAATATTGAACAGAAAAATGATACGATTGTGGTCTCAACTTGCAAATGAAGTTGTATCGAAATCTGTTTTTAAAAAAACATTAAAAACACAACAAAAAATATTCTTGTGATGAGTTTGTTTATATTAACTGATTACTTCCAGATCTCATCATCAAATAGTAAACTTCCTACGCTGCTGTGAACTCCTTGTCAAGAAATGTAAGAAATTAAAACGAATCCGACTTCTTACTTCCAGGGATGAGAATAATAAGGAAAGGAATGGTAGATTAATTCTCCTTAAAAAAGTTAAGTTTTTGAAAAGAAGTATTTTCATGAAAAAGTCATAATTTTCTATCGCTTTTTGTTCTTCAAACTTCGAGAATCATGTTTTGGTGATGGTGGGGGGAGGGGGAGGGGTAATCATCGCAAGTATTAACCCCTGGCCTTATTTTAATCTATTGTCGGAGCAGGATGAACAAGAAAAGAAACTGAACGAGCTGAGGGAGAGCTTAGTTCAGAGGCAGGTTCATCTCCAGATTGAGTTCTCTAGTACACTTCACGATAGGTACTGCGTCAAAATTTCAATCCAGCTAAACCTGTGACTTTTCAATCTATATTTGGTTATATCAAAGGATGTAAAACGATTTTATAGACATCATCAAAGTAAAATAGTTTTCTAAAAGAGCACCTTTTTCCTTTTAACCCTAAACCTTTGGAAAACTAATATCCGCTGTATGGATGATTTGATTAATGTTTGACAATGTTGTCTGTGTAGGGAAATCCGGCTTGATACTGGATGGATAATAAAAATTGGACGAGGATTGGATATATTCAGGAACCAACATAATAATTATTTTTTTTTGTTTATAGAAATTTAGTTTTGTAAATGCTTAAAATTTAAGAACCTATATTTATTTCATTTTGATTAACTTGGATTAACTTATAAATTCTACCAATAGTTTACAATTTTACAAGAATAGTTGTCTTAGCGACAATTTGAAATGTATGCAACTTTTTCTAATTTGATTTTATGGGTGAGACATTTTTTAGAGGAAACAAATTAAACGGAGGCCGAATTTAAAGAATTTAAGCTGCGGCTTAAATTTGAGACGCGGCTCAAATATGGTTGGTTCCACTTAAAATTGTATTTAATGTTTTAAGATTTAAGTCGGTGCTCAATAGAAGCCTGTTTTTGGCGGATTTGAGACGGCTCAAATTCATTAAATTCTGACACGGATGTTTTTATACGTCTTGATGGAATGTCACGACATTTCACCCCTTTGTTACTAAAGGATTATTTTTTTGTTTCGTAATTGTGGGAAAAACTAAGAGGGTTTTTTTTTATGAAAGTGCTCAAATTCATCTTGCACCAGTCTAAAAGTTTTCTTTGATACATTTTTTTATTATTGAGAACATTTTTTTCATAACTTTTTCGTGTAGATCAATACACAAATATATGAGCCAGAGAAAAAACCGCAAAATAAATCTAGATTTGTATCAAAATATTCATCTTGAAACACTTTAATCAGAAACGCTAAAATCGAATAAAAAACCATTTATTATTAAACAAACAAAGCAAAAAATTGTTTTTTGGAAACATACTTTTTTAAATAAATGAAAAAAATTCAATTATCAAAAAACGTACAAATTACGGTATTCAGCGGTTCAAGACCCAAAATTTTAATGTTTTCTTTAATGACTGTTGCTGGTAATTTCCTACTTAATAATATTTTGCTGGTGACATTTTCGATGTCGCATATTCACCCTTTACCTTAATTATTGTGAGCATGGTTTAGAGCTCCTGAAGGTCGGATTGTTCTGGGATATTTTGACCTGGATCTCCGTCCTTGTCTGGAAACTACGGTGGATATATTCTTCAAGAAGGATAGATGATACCTCATCATTTACTGCTCACTTTATTACGAAGGGTAGATCCCGGACAGAGAACTGTATTTTTATATTATTCATTAATTGATTTCACAATTTCAGATTACAAGAAGATGTAATACAGAAGTACTTTTTAATCAACATTTCAAGGTAAACAGGTCCATAGATTTTCTTAAATATTTATCCATATCCCAATTTTATAACACTCCTTACTAATCACATATTCATTTCCTATAGTCTTTGAAAAAATATTAATGTTTAACCGATTTTTTTAAAAAATGCCAGCCAGGCATTATGAGGACATAATGAAGCTAGTGGACTGCTTTTGTAGCCGCTTAACACTGGCTACACTGTTGTAGTTTACGGTGACAAGAAGTAGGGACATAAAATAGATTCAATACCTATTTTGTGACCAATTTCGAAGAGCCAGCCTAAATTTGTCTTATGTCTTATGTTTTTGTTTTTGAAATGGTAGTTATGATATGTTATCAAGTTTTAGGGGAATTTTGGGAAATAAATGATTTTTAAGGAAAAATAATTGGGTTGTATTTAGTGTTCCACGATGTATGTATTCAGGTTTAGTGTCCCAGGATGAATATATTAAATGTTTAATGTCCCAGGATTTATGTATTTAGGTTTAGTTTACCAAGATGTATGTATTGAGGTTTTGTGTCTCAAGATGTATGTATTTAGATTTAGTGTCCCACAAGGGTGTATATTTTTCTGTATGAGCTTTCATTGTTTTTGGGGGAAAAAAATGAAGAAAAAAGGAAAAAGGGGGAAGGGAAGGGGAAAAGGAAAAAAGGGGAGGGTAAAAGGGAAAATGGGAAGGGGAAAGGTAAGGGAAAAGGTTAGGGAAAATGGGTAGAGGGAACGGAAAAATGGGAAGAGGGAAGGGGAAAAGAGGAAAGGGGCAAGAGGAAAGGGAAAAGAGAAAGGGTAGGGGGGAGGGGAAAAGGGGCAAAGAGAAGGGAAAAGCAAGAACAACAAAAAAAATTAACTATCAGAAATGCTTAAAGAAAAACTCAGGGCGGACCTTGAAGTTTATCTTTTTAGGGCACCAAAACGATCCATTATACTGCTAAAATCCAAAAGTTTTCTTTGCAATGGGTACCCTGCACCCCCCCTTTGCGCGCGCTTCAGAAACCTGTAAAATATACCTTACTTGTGGATTGGGGGGGGGGATGATCCTGAAAAGGGGGGGGGGCAAAAATTTGAGTCTCACACATAATATACACCCCTGGTCCCAAGATATATGTATTCAGGTTTAGTGTCCCAGGATGTATATTGTATTTGATATCATATCTGTTCGGTTCAATAGTATTAAACCTGTGTAAGAATTCCCATTATTACACGGTTCAGGAAAAAAAGTTTCAAATATTATTCGCTTCCAAGCGTTAATTAAGAATGCTTTTTATGGCACTGGGGTGTAGAATTTTCATTCTTTAACGCTCAGACCGCGTTAGAATGAAAATAATTAAACGGTTAGAGCTCCAAGCATTAAAGAATGGAAATTATTACTCTAGTTGAAGAATATTTATTTTTACACGCTCCTACGTTGAAGATTATTTGATCTCGTTTAAGAATTTCCATTATTACATTTTTTTCTTCATAAGATTATCGTATGCAGTGTTAGTGTCCCAAGATGTATATTTTCAGGTTTAGTGTCCCAAGATGTATATATTCAAGGTTAGTGTCCGAAGAAGATAAATATACTTATTACTTTGGTTTAGTGTCCCAAGATGACTGAAAGATGGAGAGAGGAGAGGGAGGATGAGCAAACCTTGGTAGGAAGAGAGGAGGATAAATCTACCAGTAGATACAGGTGGGTGGATAATAAACATTGAACCTGGATGATAAATCTACCAGTAGATGATACAGGTGGGTCGATAATAAACATTGAACCTAGAGGATAAATCTACCAGTAGATACAGGTGGGTGGATAATAAACATTAAACCTGGAGGATAAATCTACCAGTTGATACAGGTGGGTGGATAATAAACATTGAACCTAGAGGATAAATCTACCAGTAGATGATACAGGTGGGTGGATAATAAACATTGAACCTGGAGGATAAATCTACCAGTTGATACAGGTGGGTGGATAATAAACATTGAACCTAGAGGATAAATCTACCAGTAGATACAGGTGGGTGGATAGTAAACATTGAACCTGGAGGATAAATCTACCAGTAGATACAGATGGGTGGATAGTAAACATTGAACCTGGAGGATAAATCTACCAGTTGATACAGGTGGGTGGATAATAAACATTTAACCTAGAGGATAAATCTACCAGTTGATACAGGTGGTAGGATAATTAACATTGAACCTGGAGGATAAATTTACCAGTAGATACAGGTGGGAGGATAATTAACATTAAACCTGGAAAAAACTAACTTTACCACTGAGTAAATACAGGTTGGTTGGCTGTCTGGGAAGTTCAATAGGCCAGATTGGATACGGGTGGTGGACATTGTTCCTCTCTCCTACTGGTGGTCTGGGAGGTCCATAAAGAGGTCCTTCGCAGCTATATTATTAACGGTGGTGGGTCCTCTCCTCTGAAGGCGATCTGGGGATTCCATTTCGGGGGTCTTTTATGATTTTTGAAATTCTTATTCTTACTCTTGTTCATATTAAAGTAAACACTGGGCACTGTGGGTCCAGGGCAAGACGCAAGTTGGCATATTTTAGTAGGGGTGGTAGTGCGACAAAATTAAGAATGTACAGATAAATTTCCTAATCACTCCCCCCCCCCCAAAAAAAAAAATAATTATGCATACACGTTTAACAATTAATTTTTATTTTAGCTTTGAGTTTCCAAGTATAACAGAATGGTGGCAGAACCTGAACAAGCAGAGTGCAATCTCTGTTCTTGTACTTGGTAAGTTTTTTTTTTTTTGACTAATTTAAAAAGATATGTTTATAGATATCCATGAGATTTATTTATATATATCCTTGATATAAATTATAGATATCCATTATTTACGAGATCTCTTGATAGATATCCATGAGATTTATCGATTGATATTTATAAAAACTAAAAAAATCTCCGTGGTTATTATTTGATTAATTGATTCATCTGTCTAGTGTACGTGAACCTGATAAACTACATGGATCGGTCCACTGTGGCGGGTATGCTAGAAGAGATTAAACGGGACAAGGACTTCGATATAAAGAAGGACAAGTACCTCGGCCTACTCCAGACAGTGTTCGTGTTCTGCTACCTACTCTTCGCCCCTATCTTTGGGTATCTGGGGGATCGATACTCCAGAAAATGGATTCTGGGGATCGGAATAGGTAATTACAAGAACTGAATCCTAGTGATTGGAAACGGTATTTACAAGAACTGAAACCTAGCACTTGAAATATGCAATTAAGACTGAATCCTTAAATAGGAATAGGTAATTACAAGAACTGAATCCTAGGGATCGAAATAGTTAATTACAAGAACTGAATCCTAAGGATCGGAATAGTAAATTACAAGAACTGAATCCTAAGGATCGGAATAGGTAATTACAGGAACTGAATCCTAGGGATCAAAATAGGTAATTACAAGAACTGAATCCTAGGGATCGAAATAGGTATTACAAGAACTGAATCCTAAGGACTGGAATAGTTAATTACAAGAACTGAATCCTAGGGATCGAAATAGGTAATTTTAAGAGCTGAATCTTAGGGATCGGAATAGTTAATGACAAGAACTGAATCCTAGGGATCGAAATAGGTAATTTCAAGAACTGAATCCTAGGGATCGGAATAGTAAATTACAAGAACTGAATCCTAAGGATCGGAATAGGTAATTAAAAGAACTGAATTCCATGGATTGGAATAGTTAATTACAAGAACTAGATCCTAGAGATCAGAGAGCAAAGTAAGGGATTCCTGTCGTTGTGAAGAGTTCAGAATACGCTATAGATCAGAATATAACCTTTAAAAAAAAACATTTACGCCCCCTACTTTCATCCACGTGTTGTAATTGTTACTTTACTATAATTCTCCGTTTTTAGGATTCTGGAGTTTATCCACACTGATTGGCTCTTTCATGAAATCCTTCCCTGCCTTCCTTGTATTCCGAGCTCTAGTAGGAGTAGGAGAAGCGTCCTACTCAACTGTTGCTCCGGCAATCATATCCGATCTATTTGCTAAGGTAGATTTTTACTGCATGATTTTTTTTTTACAAATTGTTCTGGTAAAATATTTTTTACCTCTTTATGGTAATAACCCCACCCCACACCACCTCTTAAAAATATATTAAGCTGTATTTTTACGTGTTTTAGTAACATTTTATTAAAAACTTCTCTTTATTAGTTAAAATTATTATAGTTTTACGTGATTCTTGTTTAGGATGATAGATCTAGCGTGTTGGCTCTCTTCTACTTTGCTATTCCTGTTGGAACAGGTTTAGGATATATTGTTGGATCAGAGGTATCCGGAGCATTCGGAGATTGGAGGTAATCTAGAAAGAGAAGATTTAGTAATTGTTAACCTTATCCCAATTGGGACATATCTAATAGAGATTGGAGGGTGTCCCCCCCCCCCTCAATGATTTTGTTCTTATAGTTGAGATAGGGGATTGTAATGAATGTCCATAGTCCAACTTTTCAAGGTCAGCACATTAAAAACAAATTAGACCTAACTTAAAATATACGGGTGCTAGGGAGGTTTTAAAAATACACTATGCATCAAGAAAAAATATTTAGCAAAATTGTTCACGAAAAGTTAAAAAGAGAAGAATGTTGAGCGTTCTAGTGTAAGCTGTTTGAAAGTTATGGAGATAAAAACTGATAAGAATTAAAATCGTGATTCTAATTTAAATTGAAGCTGGAAATCAATTTTTCGCATACTTCTCGCTGATAGAAAAATATCGAATTAAATTTGTTTGGTTTTTTATATACGCACGATGAAAAGGATTGCTTGAAATGCCAAATGATAATAATTATAACATTAATAATAATAATAATAGTAGTAAAATCTAGGTGGGGGTTGCGAGTAACTCCAATAATGGGCGCTATCGCCGTATTTATGATAATATTCTTCATGACGGATCCTCCCCGAGGTAAAGCGGACGGATCACACCTTAAACCAACCAGTCCTGTCAGTGATGTCCGAGCTCTGGGTCGGAATAAGAGTTTTGTTCTCTCTACCATTGCTTTTACCTGTGTGACCTACTGCGCTGGTGCCATGATGTGGTGGGGACCTAACTTCGCATACGCAGGTTTTACTTACTCCTTACCATCCAGATTCTTATCTTCTTCTTTTTCCCAATTTTACCTTCACTTTATTGATATTTCTATATGTTTCCACTTCCTCTCCATTATTTATACCTCCTGTCTCGCCTATCCTACTTTTATATTCCGATCCCTTTATACTCGGATCAGATCCGTTCGTTCTGTACCCTGTCCGATCCCTTCTTACTTTCACCTTTAACACGCCAAATTCCTGCCAATTCCTTTGACACTCGTATTCTTCCCCTTATTACTCCGACCCTTTCCTACTCTTACTTTTATACTCCGATCCCTTCCTACTCTCACCTTTATACTCAGATCCGTTCGTACAGTTACTAATAGTCTGATCCCTTCCTACTCTCACCTTTATACTCAGATCGGTTCCTTCAGTTACCCTTAATAGTCCATTCCATTCCTACTCTCACCTTTAACACATTATTTCCTGCGAACTCTCACATTTGATAATCCTAACACCCATAACACTCAGACCCTTTCCTACTCTAACCTTTCTACTCCAATTCCTTCCTTCTCTCACTTTTAATACTTCGATCCCTTCCAACTCTCACATACATACTCAGATCCATTCCTACTCTGCCTTAATAATTCCTGCTTTTCCTTCTTTTATCTTGACACTAAACTCTTTCCTACTTTCTGTGCTGTTATTTTCTCCTTACTACTTTTATTAATTCCGAGCTTCCTTTCTGTTCGTTCCCGTTCAGGACTCAGTTCCAAATTTAGTTTTTTCGTTACCAGTTTAGTATCTGTATTATTACTTCAGGAGCTAAATCAGCATGTGGGAACAAGGCTGGGTGTAGCGCTATAACCCTGGAGTCTATCAGCTACAAGTTTGGTATTGTAATGACCCTTTCCGGACTTCTGGGTGTTCCGGTCGGATCATATGCTTCACAAATGCTTAGACATCAGGTACAAACCTTGGCCTTAGTTAAACTTCATTTTTCAAAGCTAATTCCATTTTCTTTACTTCATTTTGTTCTTTTCTGTACTTGTGATTCGTTATTTTGTTAAGATCCTTTCTTATATTGGAGCATGCTCTCCTTGATTTGCTTGCTATTTTTGGTCACTGCTTAAAATTAATTTTTTGCCATTTTCCATGATTTTGCATAACTTTATTAAAATATAAATTTTCAAGTTTCTGATTTTTTAAGTTTCCCAATGCGGATCCCCTGGTTTGTGGATTTACTCTTCTCAGCTCTGTTCCTGTTCTTTTCTTTGGTTTCTTTTCAGCTGACTATTCGCTTCCAGTCTGCTATGCGCTAACTTTCTTTGCAGGTAAAGTTTGTGCGCATCAGGAAATATCTCAGATTTTTGTGTTGAATGATATCCGAATTCTTCGCGGTTTCCTTTTTTCCCCTATCATTCTTTGTGAAAATTGCTCTAGGACGTATACATGAGGTTGGTATTTGGTTAAGCCCCTTGCCGGTATATCGAAAACTCTTGTTCTAGGGGGATGGAGGCCTCTATCCTGGACAAAATCTTGTTTACTCCTCAGATTGGCTTAGCAGATTAAAATTGCATCCTAACTTTTGTTGCTAGCTAAAGAAAATACAAATAATATGATAAAATTGAAAACACTTTGAGGGTTTATTGTAGTGCTAAGTTACATTATCCCCCTTAGTTTTAGGGAAGCACACTTGTAAACTATATCTATTAAACAATGATTATATTTGAAGGGTTGCTACTGAACGCAAACTGGAGTATTGTAAGTGATATGACCCTGTATATAGTCATTCCTCCCAGACGATCGATTGCATCCGCTACACAGATACTGGTAAACCTTTCAATTAAAATTAAGAGATAAAGAATCATAAATAATATTTTCTTAAATGCTCCGATCCTTGGATTCTTGAATTAATCTGGATGAAATTTAGAAACATAAAATCCATCATTAAAGTATCATAATCCATAAAACATGCCAGAAGTATCATTATTCATAAAACATGTCACAAGTATCATAATCCAGAAAACATGCCACAAGTATCATTATTCAGAAAACATGTCACAAGTAGCATAATCCAGAAAAAATGTCACAAGTATCATAATCCATAAAACATGCCACAAGAATCATAATCCATAAAACATGCAACAAGTATCATTATTCATAAAACATGTCACAAGTATCATTATTCATAAAACATGTCACAAGTATCATAATCCAGAAAACATGCCACAAGTATCATTATTCAGAAAACATCTCACAAGTAGCATAATCCAGAAAACATGCCACAAGTATCATTATTCAGAAAACATGTCACAAGTAGCATAATCCAGAAAACATGTCACAAATATCATTATTCACAAAACATGTCACAAGTTTCATTATTCATAAAACATGTCACAAGTAGCATAATCCAGAAAACATGCCACAAGTATCATTATTCACAAAACATGTCACAAGTATCATAATCCATAAAACATGTCACAAGTATCATAATCCATAAAACATGTCACAAGTATCATAATCCATAAAACATGTCAATACAATAGTTTAACTCAAATTTCTACATCTTATTTCTGCATCCATTTTATCTAAATCGTTTAGGTTTCTCATCTTTTTGGTGACGCAATATCTCCGTACTTGGTGGGAGCCATGGCTGACGCATTTAAACCCTATCTGCGTAACGCTAGTGGAACTCCTTCTGGGTTCACGGATTCGTACTCAATGACCCCTGAGGAGTACGGAGTAGAGTTTAAAGCTCTTCAGTATTCTCTCTTCTCCTGCTGCTTTGCTCAGGTTAATATGTTTTATTAAAGGGTCTATAAGCGTAAGTTCAAGTGATCGTCCATGTAAAGGCGTCAATGTCCGATTCTCAAAGGTACTCTGGTCCCTTTAAAGAGACAGACCGGCTATGTAAGTTAGTTGAACTGAGTATGCAGTGTTGTGGAAAGCTTCTTTATGATTCATTTGAGGTATATAAAACTTTTAAAGATCTGTAAATCCTGAGTTTGAGCGCAAATTCGACGTTCAAAACTTCTACTTTGGGGGTGGATACGTTTTCAGAATCGGTTTTTTTATTATTAAATAACGACGACAAAAATTGTTAACAGAACTTTACAGTGAACTAATTAGTTGTTTAGGAACCGGTTTAGCAAATAAAAATTAATCTTATCATTGAAAATAAGTAATCTTGTTCAATTATTAGTTTCTATTTTCTCGTTATTCTGGTTTCTCATTATTCACAAAGATTTTCTGCAGATTTTCTGGAATTATCATCGAAAAAACGACATTTGAAGAATTTGTAGAAATCTGCGAATAAAATCAAAGAAAATAAGAAATTCAATATAATGATGAAAACGAAATAATTGATTTATAATAATTGATTTATTGACAAATTTCTTTTGAGAAATATTATCCGAACCATCTAATTAGATTACTGTATGATTTTTACTCTATTTGTCATCGTTGTTTTTTAGTAATTTAAAAAAAACCGATTATTAAAACGTATCCACCTCCAAAGACAAAGTAGGAGTTTTGAACGTCGAATTTGCGCTCAAACTCAGGATTTAATAGATCTTTAAACCTTTATCAGATCAATCATGTGGAAAATATTATCGTTTTTTAAATCAATAATTTCTATTCATGTTTCCCTGCAGAGGAATGCGCAAGTCACTTTAGTAGAGAAACCAAAATAAAAAATAACCAGTTTCAAATTTAGAAATTATGAACATTGAGACTAATATTACTTGATCAGACAAAGCTTTTAAGGACACCGTTCTGAATCGGGCATTGCCATCTTTGCGTGGAGGTTCACTTGAAATTACGCTTAGAGGAACTTGACACTTGTCACACACTCAAATTTTCGAATATTTATATTTTTTCAACCTTTGAAATTTCAAACTGAATTCTGCGAGGTTAAATATTTCAAGTCTGAAATCTGAAAGGTTTAAACAATTAGGTTGTACAGATTTGAGTTTTCGGAAGGTAGAGTGCTCAGTTACTTTTCTGGCGATATCACTTTAAGTTAACCCACATTATGCGCCCGGGTTGCCATTTAATGATCCCGACTGACCACCAGGAATATCAGATCTTAAAAAGTGAGAACAAAATTACAATGAAGTATAGAACTTTTTTACTTTGTGAGGGTCTAATATTTCATTGAATTCCATATTGATCCTTCACGAATAACATTAATAATTGTTTTTACTTTTTTGATAGTTTTTATTCTAATTTAATTTGCAGGCATTGGGTGCTCTGTTTTTCATGATAATGTCCTGGTATATTCTTGATGATAAGAATGCCGCTGAGCGACAGATACACTCCAACCAAACCATACCAGAGGATGAGGAGGGAGGGGAGGAGGAGGAGGGAGGAGGACCTATATTCCGAGGAGCAAGAGAGGATGTCCTCGCGACGGAGGAATAATAATTCGATCTGATTTAAGTTTGTAAAACTGTTTTACAAGATATTTTACGACCAGGCTCGGTGTTCTGCCGAACTTGCGTACAAATGAGTTGAATTCTGCATAAAATTAAACTTAATATGACTCCCCTGTTGTATACCCTTGCCATAATCTAAACTTAATCGAATAATTGATTTAAAATAAATATTTGATTTATTGAAATTTTATAAATATAACATATACGTCTTGTACAAACTCGACCAGATGCTAGATGTTAAAAGATACAAAATTATATATTTTTAAACTAAAAACCTGTTTGACTTATCCGAGGGAAATTAGAGTTTAGCATCAAGACTCACAGTTTCAGTTCATGTTGGAAATCTATAATAATCGTACTTTGACCATATTTGTACTGAAGGCTGAACTTCTTTATTTACAGCGCTAAGCTTTAGTAGTAGTTGGAACTACTGCCGTTTGAACTATTGGCTTTTTAAACAATTGGTCGTTTGAACTATTGCACTTAGTACCGCGTGTAGTAGTTCAAGGGACCAATAGTTAAAACGATAACATTCTGTGCGCATTTGAACTATTTTTTTTGCTCATTGGAACTATTAGCAAAAATAGTTCAACTGAGCCGAAAAATATATATAGTTAAAATGAGCAAAAAAGTTTAAATAAGCCAAAAAATAGTTAAATTGAGCCAAAAAATAGTTAAAATTAGCAACAAAAAAATAGTTAAAATGAGCAAAAAAATAGTTCTGATGAGCAATAAATAGTTCAAATGAGCAAAAAAAAGTTTAAATGAGCAAAAAATAGTTCATATGAGCAAAAACATAGATCAAATGAGCCATACAAATATTTGACCAATAATTGATATTATCCAAAAAATCAAATGATACAAAAATATTTAGTTCAAATGAGCTAAAAAATAGTTGCTCATTTGAACTAACTTTTTGATTCATTTTAAAATATTTTTTTGCCTATTTGAACTATTCTTTTGCTCATTTGAACTATTTGTTTTGCTCATTTAAAAGCTATGTTTTAGTTAATGACGGTCAATAGTTCAAATGATCAATAGTTCAAACGGCAGTAGTTCAAATGCGGATCCACTCTCTAGACTAATGAAAATTAGCGAGCAAATGCAAATTAATATATGATAATAAGTTGAAATACGTGTGTTATCTATATTGTATGTGAATTTTATTTCCCCATCGCAGAATAAATATAAAACGGGGAAATATGTCCTTTTATAATTCGTCCCCTCTCCCATGGATTTTAATCTGAACTTAAAGTAAAAATGTTTTGGAAAAAATTAAAAATAAATTTGAATACACCTAAAATTCCAAACGTTTAAAGAATATCCAGCCCTGAAATAAATTGCTTGTCAAGAATGTAACACTGAAACTGTGAGTTTAGTTTGTATGATAGGATACTGGGGACTGGGGACATTGTAAGATTTTATACATTAATAATATTTTATTCATTTTTTATAATTTCTGTCAGCAACTGAGTTTACTTGTTAAACTAGACTATAGAAGGGACTGTAGACGCCATTTTAATTTTTAAATAGGGACTATTCGCATGTTTGATTCACAAAGGTACACTGCAAAGGTACACTGAAAATCTATATCTGACCAGCAAATTCACTTTTCCTCAAAATGTGGAAATCTTAAGCATTCTTGAGAGTATTGTGAATGGAACATGTTAGTCCACAGTCCCTTAAAGGGGTTTAAACTACTGTGCATAATGTAAGTTAATTTAATTATTATTTAGATTTAGGTCGATTTTTATATTTCATAAATCATCCATTGTTTCAACCCAAACTCATAAATTGTTGGGCATTCCATGTCATCATTGTATGTGTCAGAATTTTATCAAATTTCCAAACTTAAAATGTTAATATAAATATTGGAAAATAATTTTCTAGTTTATAATATGAGCTTTGATCATCTTGTCGTAATCCTTCCTTGAGTAATCATGCGTACTATAATTATTTTTGATATTATTGTCAATAAAAAAGTTAATTCAGCTTTGTGATATCTTATGTTTTTTTTATGACAAAGGAAAAAATAATTAATTCCATAAAATGTGTTGAATATGACAAAAGCAAAATTAAAATATATTCGGCTAAATTTTGTATCGTAATTTTACCTTTTATTCTAGCGTGTACCATGTAACCGTTTGCCCTATTTATTTTCTTTAAATCTGACCTTTTTCAGAGGTTATGGATGATGACTCAGAGGAAGATAACTGGATAGAGATGGACGAGGACGAATGGGAGGGGAAGCAGGTCATCGTGGGGATCTGTGCCATGGAGAAGAAAACCCATTCTAAACCCATGACGGAGATCCTGACCAGACTTGAGGAGTTTGAATACATCAAGACAGTAATCTTTCCAGAGTCTGTTATTCTAAAGGATCCTGTTGAAGATTGGCCGGTTTGTGATTGCTTGATTGCGTTTCATTCCGTTGGATTTCCTCTGGATAAATCCATAGCGTATGCTAAACTCCGTCAACCCTTCATTATAAACAACCTGGCAGCTCAGTTTGATATCCAGGACCGGAGACAGGTTTACAATATTCTTTCTACGGAGAGGATTGAGCTCCCACGGTATACAGTCCTGGATAGGGACGGACCCGTTATGCCGGACTTTGAGGAGGATGACGATCATGTTGTAGTGAACGGAGTTACGTTTAACAAACCTTTTGTTGAGAAGCCGGTAGATGCTGAGGATCATAATATTATAATCTACTATCCTGCATCTGCTGGAGGAGGATCTCAAAGACTGTTTAGAAAGATTGGAAGTCGGAGCTCGGTTTATTCTCCGGAGTCTAGTGTGCGTAAGGTTGGATCATACATCTATGAAGACTTTATGGCTACAGATGGAACTGATGTTAAAGTATATACAGTTGGACCGGACTACGCGCACGCAGAAGCACGCAAATCCCCTGCGCTTGATGGGAAGGTTGAAAGAAACTCTGAGGGTAAAGAGGTTCGATATCCTGTTATCCTTTCCAACAAGGAGAAACTAATTGCAAGGAAGGTTTGTTTAGCTTTTAAACAAATGGTGTGTGGATTTGATCTGCTCAGGGCAAATGGTAAATCTTACGTTTGTGATGTTAATGGATTTTCGTTTGTTAAAAACAGTTACAAATATTACGATGATTGTGCTAAGATTCTGGGAAATATGATTTTAAGAGAGCTAGCACCAGCTCTTCATATACCCTGGACAATGCCGTTCCAGCTTGATGATCCTCCGATAGTTCCAACAACTGTTGGTAAAATGATGGAACTCCGTTGTGTTGTTGCTGTTATTAGACACGGAGACAGGACTCCCAAACAGAAGATGAAACTGGAAGTTAGACATCCAAAGTTTTTTGATATCTTCGAGCGAATGGACGGATACAAGACGGGTCACGTTAAACTGAAGAAACCGAACCATCTCCAAGAAGTTCTAGATATAGTCAGGTTCCTACTCAAAGAGATAGAGAAGGGTGGAGGCAGTAACGAAGTGATTGAAGAGAAGAAAACTAAACTGGAGCAGGTTAGATACGTCCTAGAAATGTACGGACATTTCTCCGGTATTAATCGTAAAGTTCAGCTTAAATATCAGCCAAAGGGTCGTCCTAACTCTACCAGCAGTGAGGACGACTGTCCCAAAGATCCAAGCCTTCTCTTGATCCTGAAGTGGGGCGGAGAATTAACTCCCAATGGACGGATCCAAGCGGAGGAACTTGGAAAGGTTTTCCGTTGTATGTATCCTGGAGGTCAGGATCTCCTGATAGGAGGCCTACCTCCTGCCACAGATTCTCCGGATGATAGATCTACCAGAGCTACTTCAATGTCGAATGGAGAATTTTCCGGGACTCAAGGTTTGGGTTTCCTCCGGCTCCATTCTACATACAGACATGATCTTAAGATCTATGCTAGCGATGAAGGTAGGGTTCAGATGACCGCTGCCGCATTTGCAAAAGGTCTGCTAGCTCTAGAGGGAGAGCTTACTCCAATCCTGGTTCAGATGGTGAAATCTGCAAATACCAACGGTCTTCTAGACAATGATTGTGAACAATCCAAGTACACAACATTAAACAAGGTAAAATCTAAACTTCATGAGATCCTGCAGCAGGACGGAGACTTCAGCCTTGATGATGAGAAAGATCTGAATCCTGGAAACAAGATATCTGTTGAGAACGCGTTGCGGTTTATTGGTAACCCTGTAAAGTGTTGCAAGCACGTGTACAGTTTGATCCAGGAGCTAAATATATTGATCCCTCTGCTCCAGGAGGAACACGGAGGTCAGCAGGTTCTTTATCATAGTGAAACCTGGGACCTCATGGCTCGACGCTGGGCGAAACTGGAGAAAGATTTTCTTCCCAAACATGGAGACTTTGATATCTCCAAGATTCCTGATATCTATGATTGTATCAAGTATGATGTTCAGCATAATAGATCCATTCTTGAACCTGGTCCTGCCTGGAACACGGCTATCCAGCTCTATACCTATGTTAAGAACTTGGCTGACGTGGTTATCCCCCAGGAGTACGGGATCAATATTGAGGAGAAGCTAACCATATCCCAGGGTATCTGTACCCCGCTCCTTAAGAAGATACGAGCTGATCTGCAGAGGAACGTAAACGGAGGGGGAAGTAAGGAGGATGAAGACGGAACAGTAAACAGGTTGAACCCCAGGTACAGCAGCGGGGTCAGCTCACCTGGGAGACATGTTAGAACTAGATTATATTTCACTTCAGAATCCCATATTCATTCTCTTCTCACGGTTCTCATGCACGGTGGACTAGTGAAGGGTGGAGATGAGCAGTGGACCCGAGCTATGGAATATGTATCTCTAGTCTCCGAACTCAACTATATGACCCAGATTGTAATCATGTTGTATGAAGACCCTACCAAGGATCCGAGCTCCGAGGAAAGGTTTCATGTTGAGCTACACTTCTCTCCCGGTGTGAACTGTTGTGTGGATAAAGATCTTCCTCCTGGTCCTGGTTTCAGACCTCACTCAAGGAATAACGAGCATATACCTGTTATTGCAGGACGTGGAAGACAAGAGGGACAAGAACATTCTAGGCGTCTTAAACCTCTTCCTTCCTTCAGAGAGTCCGAGGAAACCAGCCCAACCTCCGATCAGATCCGGATACCGTCCAACGTTGATTCAATCCTTGATCTACATCCTCCTACTCCTAAACCCAAGACACAATCCAAACGACTAGAGGAGGGACGACCCAGATCATTGGAGCATGAATCCCAGATAACCAATCTTGAGACTCCCTCTCCTGTATGTCACAGTACTCTGGAAAAACGAGGGCACCGAGGTTCCCTCCCTGGAAATAAGATGACTAACTATCTCAAGTTCCTCCAGGAGTTAGCACTTCGTCAACCCAGTAACTCAATAGCGTCGCATCTTTTCTCTACAGCAGTCATATCTGGATCCTCGTCCGTCCCAAATCTACAGAGTAATGGGACTGGAGACACGAGGAATGACTATCCTGGGATCAGGTCCCTGGAGACTTTACACAACTCCTTGAGCTTGAGACAGCTTGACACCTTCCTGGGGAACATTACTGCAGGGAGTAATGGAAAGAACGGAGTCAATGATTAGGTAATTTTATGGTTTAAATTCCTTTTTTAAATGTCTAAGCAAGTTCTACAGTGATAACCAAAAAATTGTGGAATAGGAAAAACGACAATAAAGCAAGTGTTTTTAATGTTGTTGCAAAGCTAATAATTTTACGAGTAACTCACTAATTAAGTGAAATAAGTCTGTTTACACTGCACACATGCTCTGTCTCATGTTCATTCAACGACTATTTAAAGTCATAATTTGAGTCTAACAGTTATCTTCCTTTTCCATAGTTTTCTGGTTCTCACTGTAATTCTTTCTATTTTCTAGGTGGATTCAGTAATGATGTCTTCAGATGTAAAACTAACTCCAATCCAAGATCTTCAAGATATCTACTATTTTATTAATTTTCATGTGTCTTTAATTTGGCATCCATAGCTAACTAAAGCGCTGTGTTTAATCTTTTTATTTACATAACTACAAAAACTAGATTTTATCCGATTAAACTCGAGGTTTAACACGGTTGAACCCTGAAGATGAATCTTGGTTTAAGATTTAACTGGAAAACTATATCTAGAAAACCTGAAATCCGGGTTTGTCAATTACTTCGTTAACCTTCTTCGTTCTTAAGATTATTATTCATATTTATGTTCATAATTCAAGGAAATAAAGATCTTGAAGTATATTCAGTTGATGTTGTAAGAATACGACATTATTGTTCAATTGTTTTGTAAAATTATCGTACTTACTTTATTTCAATTCACATCTTTTGTAAATTGAATTTCGTTACGTTGGTAATAGTATAAATAAGCAATATTTAATTTTTCAGTCAATATAGTTATTTTTCTCAAACTTTGATTTAATTGTATTGTAAAATAAACTTTAAATTGCAAAGTTTATTAATTTAACCTTTAAGAATATTTGCAAAATTTGTAAATGTAAACCCTGTTCGAAATAATATATTTTGTTGTTTTTTAGTTGCATAACATATATATTTATAATTTCCTTATTGCACTTGACAATAAAATTTATTGTTATAATACTTAATTGAGATAGAATGAATCGGCATTTTTCTAAATCTGGAGGGATAACATAGTTCACTAGCTATACAGTGAATCCCATGAAACTGTGGAATAAGAAGACGATATTTAAATGGAATTTTAAGTGACCCTTCATTCATTGAGAGGCATGTCCGATTCAAACCGTCAGCTGATCAAGGATGGATTAGATATCCTTAAAGGTATTTAATTGTGGTTTCTCTGTAAAGAACATTTGCGGATTTTTGGCCTAGATAGAGAAGGAATGAAATTGTCAGAATTCAACATGTCTGAAGTTAGAAAAACTACGATATCTTCCACATAATTGGTCAGATAACAGTTTAAATACCGCCGTTGTAAATCTTTAAATGGAGGGTCATTAATATGAGTATTTAATGTTTCATAATTTCAAAATTAATAATAATTTGAGTCTAACAACCATCTTCCTTTTTCACAGTTGTTTTGGGTCTCATTGTACATATACTGGAAATTTTTGAACTTTTTATAATTTTAATTGTGTGTGTACTTTTTCCTTACTTTCAATATTTCATGAGAGTGAGACACTCTCACAACATGTCTGATCAGGAGTGTTTTATACCATATCCACAATTTTACTATTATGGGTGGATATTGTTTATCTTGAAATCTTGATCCCGATGTCCAATGTTGGCACTTTTTAAATTGGAGGATCAACGTTTTATCTCACAATTAAAGATATCCCTACAGGGTATTACCAATACGGGATATCGAAGTGGAATTAAATGAATCCGAAGATCTTTATAAGATGGAGATTAATGTTTGATCCTGAGTCCTGACATTCACAACACTAAAGTTCTGACTTTTGGTTATTTATGTTGCACAAACGTTTTAAACATTCATTTTTTCTGTCTGTTATTCTCAGGGAATAGGAGTAAAGGGAAAGAAAATGGCGCTGGTCTGGCATGAGAAAGCCAGTCGCACTGCTTTGCAGACAAGTTCGGTAAACTTAACACATACTCTTTTGGTACAGACACACAACATGACTACAGTCAAGGAAATTCAGAACAATGTTGTCAATTATAATTAAGCTTGAATAACGACTAGTTTATTGTAAACTTTAAGCAAATTATATTCTTTGCATGAAAATTTGTCTTATAGTGTTGACTTAGATATATAAATAATATACTACATGTACAGAGTGTCCCAATAAACATGGGAATTCAGTGACGAATTCGATACCGTCTTTTTAAATAATTCTTTGATTTAGTATACCTACTGAGAAAGCTGTAATCTGTAAGAGTTCGTCTGCGGCTATGTTCACATTTTGTTTGTCTATGTTTTGACTCCATATGGGTGTACTTAGTTTAATCAAGAAAATTGCAGTATACAAACAGAGTAAATTTGTCCGTCTACACCAAATAGATTATCAAGTACAATCGGTGGCAACAGAGAAATGGACCAATCATGCACGCGACGTCACAAGTGTCAAATATAACAAGGAAAACGAAATTTTATCACTTTAGTTGACATGTTTTCCAAGATTAAATACAAAAGTGTAAAACAGAAAAGAAAGAACACAAAATTGCACTTATTTTATCGTAAGATAAGCACTCTTTATTCCATAATTTTCATAATTTTATTGGACACAAAAACTGAATTGACACTTGTTACGTCAGAATACAACTGTACTGATTGTGTACAAATTCTACGTTGTCATCTATTGTACAAGAATCTATTTGGTCTACACTATTTATCTTGCGGAGACATATTCACATCTTTACAGTCTTTTACCCTTTTCATAAAATAAATCCTAGCAGACATAAAAATATCATGGCTTTTGAAATTAGGTATTACAATACTAATTCATAACAAAGACGATATCCAATTATTCACTGAATTCCCATATTTTTTGGGACACCCTGTATATTAAACTTATTTTTAAGTAAACAATTAACAATAAACAAATGTACTCTCCTAGACTGTACAAATATCATGATTCGTATAATGTACTGTTTATACCATACAGTACACACCTTCGGTTAGGTAAACTTTACACACACTATTGGTACAGACACACACACATGACGTTACCGCCCCCTGGTTATTCTACTTCATAATAGTTTTTACAAGAACAAGTTGTATTTTAAAGAACAAAATTTTGAAGTGTTTTAATTTTATATTGTTGCGTGGAATTAATTCGTGCTAATCTCAACAATTTACCATCATTAGATTTTTTCTCAAGTTAATCAATAAGCTAAATATTTGTGGTTTCAATTCTTAAAATTCCTAGATTTCATGTTTAAACCGACTACAGAGGGTTTCTGAGTTTATTATCTAGTTATCTTAGATATATCTAGTTGAGGTGTTAGTCAATCTACAGAATATTTTAAAAGCGAAGGTCTAGAATAAACGAGGGTTGGAATACTTGAGCACTATACAGAAACGACAGGCCCTCAACTAAGCTTCCCATGCGTTCTGCAGTACACTGACCGAAGTCCTATTTCAGAGTTTTCTGGTTATTACTGCATTAAAATAAATAAAAGAATAATTCATTAACGATAACTATTGAGCAAGGGTCGCGTCTTAAGTTTTACTTTTTTATCGTTTCACAGAGAATAAAATGTTACAGATTTGCAAACCTATACATTGGACTGGAGTAACAGAACAAATCCAAAGTTTACATCTCATAAACTAATTGATCATTCTCATACTACTCTAAATTTCTAATCTATATATTTTGAAACCTGATGGTGTAGATACTAGATCTTACATATTTCAAACTTAAACTTCTGCTTGATTTAACAGTTAAAAAAATATATATTTAACAGTTATATATCTAAGGTTAGTACCATCAGGTTGCGAGAAATATGCTCCTTTGTCTCTTAAAAAGATTCTATAGTGAGAATATGAATATAAAGACGACTTTTAGACTCTAGTTATGACTTGAAATAGTCAAAGATGAAGTATTGCTTTTATGTCGTCTTCCTAATTCTAAGTTTTCTGGTTCTTATACTTTTATTAAAAAATGTATTTAGTTAAATGCAGAAGTGTTTCTTGTGTTTGATAAAAGATAAATTAACCATTTTTATTTCCAACTCTATAAATTTGTATCCTCTATGAAACATTGATGCACTTGAAATCCTAGAGTTTATCATGAACGGTTGATTACTCAGGGTTGCTTAGTTGATCCGTTGTAATTCTTAACCTTGACTTTATACCCAACCTTAGAGCTCCGTATTCTGGTTCCGATATGGAGAAAAAACCCGGATTAATATTCAAGATATTATTCATTAGTTAAATATCCATGATGAATAATGTGACATGAACTAGGATAGGAATCAGTGGTGCTGGTAGTTCCTCGATATGAAAGGAACTGTATTTTTCCTCCCTATATTTTGCAACCTGATGGTGTAAGGACTCAATTTCTTTATTTTATGCGTTCCGGGTAAATTATCATTTTTCCTAATTATCTCTTGATCAGTTCTTAATTTAGTGTTAAAATGTATATTGGTGCTCTAATGTTAACATTTTTTCCAGTTTTTTTTAATACAAATTCTAATATTCAAGTTTTAATAATTGGTTCCAATGTTAAATGAATCTTAGATCAATGCTACAGTTTTCTTTATCCAAAACTTCATCTCTGGAACTCATTATTTATTTTACTATTTTATACTTATTCTATATATTTTTTACATATTTAAGACTTTTAACTTCCGGTAAATACTAATATGTCATTTCCGACAAAACAACTAAAACAATATATTAGTGGTTAACTTAAAAGTTTTTTATTTTTGTAAAATTTTGAAAATGCGCGAAAAATTTTTGTTTTGTTTTTGTTTTTAAATTGTACAAAGAGAAGATGCTCACAGATAAAGCCACAGTTAAAAGTCGAAATAGAAGATGGCGCGAAGCGGCCTAAAAGCCTAGTTATTTAAAAATCAATTAAACCTTTAGTCATTTTATTTATTTTTAGCTTTCTATTAATCAAATCACGTTAACATTGAAATTTGATATGTTTCCAATCAGAAAATTAAAATTAGAGGAGATATGACGTCACACAGTGGTACCAGTAAATTCGCATACCTTCTCCTTCTGCATTGGACCTCGCATTATGAATAAATTCTAAATTATGATGAGAATATTTGTTTAAAAAGTGAATGTAATGTATTCATTTAGTCATTATTGGATCAAAAACCATTGAAAACTAGGGAAATGATGCAACTATCAAAGGAATTGAGTCTTAGCTAAAAAATCAAATTTTCTAATCCTTATATTTTTGCAACCAAGACTGAATTCCTTCGTGAACATACAAATAAATAATATCATGAATTTTTTCTTTACTTCGAGCTTAAACCTTCAAACATTAGTTCATTTCTTCAAAGAAAGAACTTTTTTATTTCTTTGTACCTTCTTCTGTTTTGAACTCTTCTTACTTAACTGTTTTAAAATAAAGGTTTCCATTTTTTTGGAAAAATATCTATTTCGGAAATAAGATCAAGCGGAAAACTTCTCCGTAAATAAAGTGAATTTCCGGTTTACGTATCGTAAAACGGAAAACATTCTGTTTATATAATGGAAACTGGATATCCTTCCGTAACATTCCTTTTTTTCCGTAAATTTCAGGTCTACGGAAGAAAATCATTGGTTTATGGACCATTTACCGAAAGGGATATTTTGAAGAAAAAATCCGCACTTAAACCGTAGTATTTTTATTTCAACCTTTAAACTCTAGTTTTTAATCTTTAAAATGTAGTTCGTATTAAATTTTTTACTTTTTTTACTTCATTATTTGGTTCAACCTTTTAATCTTTGACTCTATTCTACTCTTGTTTCATTGTTTTTTCAATAACAGCGCTCTGGGTCCTAATTACATTATCAAAATTTACTTTTTGTCTTTTATTATATAAACTAATGATCATATGACGTAATAAAATATAATTTTGTGTCAACGAGTTGACTTACATCGGTCTTCATGGAATAGAAATAATGCCCTTAAATCCCATATAGTCCTAATTGACTAAAATACAATAAATAATGTTCATTTACATGTAAAAGTATTGGGACAACCGTCCCGAAAAAAAGGGTTCTTGGTGAAGCTAGCTCCAGGAGACTACAAAGGGTTAGGATGAGTATCCGACCCTAGTTAGAAACCTTGAACCAACCCAGTCGGAACAATGAAGGAGAGGTGTGTGCATAATGATAGAACACTTTTCTTCTTCAATTTACAATTCACCCTTGGAGAAGATTTTTATATACAACGACTAGAAAGGGGGGGTGGTCAAGAACGTAGAGAAAACTCTGGTCTGGGTCCAAGACAAGGAAAAGAACAAGGAAGACTTGTGGATAACGTGTCACATTAATCTGGGAGGACAGAAGAATAGTTGAGAAAATAAAGAATAAAGAATAAGAAAGAAACATGAAAATAATTAATACATTGGTTAACATAAAATGTTGTGTTAATCTGGTTTGAATTCGATTGGATAGGAATTGATAAGATAGGATCAAATGGAATCGGATTGTTTGAAAGATTTCTGAGGATTAGATTGGAATGTGCCATACCGAATAATATACACATATGTAAACCGGGAAGGATATAGGATCAGTTAGGACAGGATATGATTTTTAATGGAATTGTAAAAGGTTTCATAAATAGGAATCAGGAAAAGCACGAGTTATTCAGTAAGAAAATTAGGACAGGATAGGATAAGATTAACAGAAAAGACTCTTAAAGAGGGATAGAGTAGGAAAGGCAGTAATTGGAATGGAATGGAATGGAATGATTGGGATAGGTAGTGATGGGCAAAGTAAGGATCAAATAGTATGATAAAGCTGAATAGGATTGGGTAGGTTAGGATGGAATGTTCTAGACAAGGGTTGGATTAGAATCTGGTTAGGCTATTATAGAATTGGATGGGATAGGATAGGTTAGGATAGGATAGGATAGGATAGGATAGGATAGGATAGGATAGGATAGGATAGGATAGGATAGGATAGGATAGGATAGGATAGGATAGGATAGGATAGGATAGGATAGGATAGGATAGGATAGGATAGGATAGGATAGGATAGGATAGGATAGGATAGGATAGGATAGGATAGGATAGGATAGGATAGGATAGGATAGGATAGGATAGGATAGGATAGGATAGGATAGGATAGGATAGGATAGGATAGGATAGGATAGGATAGGATAGGATAGGATAGGATAGGATAGGATAGGATAGGATAGGATAGGATAGGATAGGATAGGATAGGATAGGATAGGATAGGATAGGATAGGATAGGATAGGATAGGATAGGATAGGATAGGATAGGATAGGATAGGATAGGATAGGATAGGATAGGATAGGATAGGATAGGATAGGATAGGATAGGATAGGATAGGATAGGATAGGATAGGATAGGATAGGATAGGATAGGATAGGATAGGATAGGATAGGATAGGATAGGATAGGATAGGATAGGATAGGATAGGATAGGATAGGATAGGATAGGATAGGATAGGATAGGATAGGATAGGATAGGATAGGATAGGATAGGATAGGATAGGATAGGATAGGATAGGATAGGATAGGATAGGATAGGATAGGATAGGATAGGATAGGATAGGATAGGATAGGATAGGATAGGATAGGATAGGATAGGATAGGATAGGATAGGATAGGATAGGATAGGATAGGATAGGATAGGATAGGATAGGATAGGATAGGATAGGATAGGATAGGATAGGATAGGATAGGATAGGATAGGATAGGATAGGATAGGATAGGATAGGATAGGATAGGATAGGATAGGATAGGATAGGATAGGATAGGATAGGATAGGATAGGATAGGATAGGATAGGATAGGATAGGATAGGATAGGATAGGATAGGATAGGATAGGATAGGATAGGATAGGATAGGATAGGATAGGATAGGATAGGATAGGATAGGATAGGATAGGATAGGATAGGATAGGATAGGATAGGATAGGATAGGATAGGATAGGATAGGATAGGATAGGATAGGATAGGATAGGATAGGATAGGATAGGATAGGATAGGATAGGATAATATTGGATATGATTACAGTGGATAGGATGAATAAGATAAGATTGGATTGGCTAAGATAGGTGGCAAAAGATTGGATTAGAAAGGATCAGTAGGATTGGATAGGATTCGATTGATTAGGATTAGATAGGATCGGATAGGATTGGATAGGATTGGTAGGGCAGGATATGATAGGGTAGGATTAGAGAATAGGGTTGGTTAGGGAAGGAAAAGATAGGATAGGATAGAATTGGATTGGGTATGATTGGACAGGTTTAGATAAGATTGGATTAGAAAGGATCGGATTAGATAGGATAGGGCAGAATTTGATTGGATAGGATAAGACAGGAATAGGATAATTTAGGAAAGAACAGGAAGGACAAGGATGGGATAGTCCAGAATAGAACAGGAAGGAAAGGGATATGTTAATCCAGGAAAGAACAGGAAGGACAAGGATGGGATAGTCCAGAATAGAACAGGAAGGAAAGGGATATGTTAATCCAGGAAAGAACAGGAAGGACAAGGATGGGATAGTCCAGAATAGAACAGGAAGGAAAGGGATATGTTAATCCAGGAAAGAACAGGAAGGACAAGGATGGGATAGTCCAGAATAGAACAGGAAGGAAAGGGATATGTTAATCCAGGAAAGAACAGGAAGGACAAGGATGGGATAGTCCAGAATAGAACAGGAAGGAAAGGGATATGTTAATCCAGGAAAGAACAGGAAGGACAAGGATGGGATAGTCCAGAATAGAACAGGAAGGAAAGGGATATGTTAATCCAGGAAAGAACAGGAAGGACAAGGATGGGATAGTCCAGAATAGAACAGGAAGGAAAGGGATATGTTAATCCAGGAAAGAACAGGAAGGACAAGGATGGGATAGTCCAGAATAGAACAGGAAGGAAAGGGATATGTTAATCCAGGAAAGAACAGGAAGGACAAGGATGGGATAGTCCAGAATAGAACAGGAAGGAAAGGGATATGTTAATCCAGGAAAGAACAGGAAGGACAAGGATGGGATAGTCCAGAATAGGACAGGAAGGACAAGAATGGGATATGAAGATGAAGGATATTATAATCCTAGATAGGGCAGTGAGTGTAATGCTAGGCCGGAAAAGGATAGAATGAACCAGGATAGTGCAGGAAGGAAGGGATAGGATTATACGGGATATAATAGGAATGAAAGGGATAGGATATAGGATTATCCAGGATATAGAAGGAAGGAGAAGAAAAGAGCAGGAAAAGTAAATAAAAGGTTGGAAAAGGAAGGGAATGAAAGGCGGATTAGGAATTTTAGGACGGTGAAGGAAGGGTATATAAAGATCACAAAAAAAGGTTTTAAAGTATTCGCAAGGAGGGGAAGAAACGTCTGGACGAGGAAAGGAAAAGATGTAGAACAGGATGAACAAGGAAAGGAAAAGTAGAATTAACTAGGATTGAAAATGAAGATGGACAATGAAAGGAACAGAAGGATAGACAAGGAAAGGAATAAAAGGATAGACAAGGAAAGGAATAAAAGGATAGACAAGGAAAGGAATAAAAGGATAGACAAGGAAAGGAATAAAAGGATAGTCAAGGAAAGGAATAAAAGGAATGGACAAGAAATTGAATGAAAGGACTAACAAGTAAAGGTGAGGTAGGATGTCAAAGGAAAATGAGAAAACGATTGAAGAGGAAGGAATAGTTTGAGGAATAAATATATTAGGATTGAAAAATTTACAATGAAAGACATAGTTGCAAGGATAAATCTATAGTATATAGGATTTACATGTGGAATGAATGAAATAAAAGAATGAATTAGTAAAATATGAATATAGCTCTAGCTTCAGCTAGATTTAGTAAAAACTGACTTTTTTAGCAGAAAGATAAAAAAGAAATAAGCTAAAGTAATCAATGGGAAGAAAGAATAACAAGATAAACAGATGAAAACAAAGAAAACAAGAAAAATAATATATAAAGATTGAGCTGAGTCCTTTACATTGCTGCTGTTATAACATTGTTATTAGTCAGCATATGATGAGGATTAACAAACTCTCTGGTGGGTTTCTGCTCAGACTTCTTCTTACCCAACTCCAGGGTTGTTCCTTTAGAAGCTCCGAACTGATTGTACGAGCTTCGCAGTACTTTAAGCTGACGACCTATCACTGAGTTTTCATTGTACTTCCCGTAAAGGAACAGGAATGCTATAAGAATGAATATAAGGATAATAACCATTAGACTGGAAACAACGGCTGAAACCACGACGGATGAGGATGAAACTGGTTTATCTGAAACTGCTCCGTCCGAACTGTGTCTCCACTCCGTGTGTCCCTCTGTACAGCTGGTCGTATTGGATACATGGCACTCATTATCATCCCAGGTTTGTCGGAGTCGGTCAGCGCCGTCACTACAATGCCCGGAGCTGGGACACCACGCGCAATCAAAGCTGGTGGAATCTCTGATATGGAAACAGTCTCCGCAACTTTTCTGCGCGACACATGTTGGAAGTGCGCGAAAGACCGCGACCGTGCGCGTGTTAATATCCACGTTCTCAATGTTGATCTTGTTATAGAGATGGAGTTCAGAACCATGAAGAAGGAACGCATCTAAACCAGACAAGGTGTAAGTCAAGATCATAAATAAAAAGAATAAAAGGCAATGTTCCTAAAATGAACCTTCAAAAAAATAATATTTTTGTCAAAATAGCGATACAATTATTTGGCTGGGATAAGGTTTCAGAAGTTAGAGCAGGGTTAGGATGAGATTTTCTATTATTTACCTGAAATACCGGCAACTGGTTCATGATCGTATAGAGCAGCTGTGGTTAGGACGGGTTGAACTTCAATATACACGAACACAATGTCTCCATTGGGTCGCAGTGTCACCTAAATAATACATTATGAGATTGGATGTTTCATTTTTTCTTTATTTTGCTTTTCATTATTAAAGGGACTGTAAAGGAAAAATGAAAAGGGATATAGGCTGAAAGCTAATCACTTTAGCTCTTGATCGTGACCCATGAAAGTTTTATCTGATGTTCCTGTCTCGAGAAATTGATATAAAACTGTGTAAAAATTATACGAAAGTTCATATTGTAAAATTTAGAAAATCTTAAACTTGAATCACGCGACCAGAACTATCACCAATGGCAGAGCAGTATACTGGTCACGTGTCTCCGCCTGTATCACGTGACCACTTTACTGCACTGCCATTGGTGGAATTTCTGGTCAAGCAATACGGACGTATAAATAATATTATGAATTAAATCTATAAAAAATAGAAATAACAAATATAAAATTAGAATTGGAGTAAACCTAAGTTACAATTAGCTTTCTCTGGGATATCATCGTTTTTAGATTGGTTGCATATTTGCTGAATTTGATCTTTTTAAACCCACTACTTTTATACAAAATTGTATAAATATTAATTTTCGTATAAATTTGACAAAGTTGTAAATCAATTTCTCGAGATAGGAACATCAGATATAATTTTCATGGGTCGCGATCAAGAGCTAAAGTGATTAGCTTTCAGCCTATACCCCCTTTCATTTTTCCTTTACAGTCCCTTTAAGCTAGTTTTTAGATTCAAGCAACTTTGGCTGAATCGGTGAAACTTTGATTGTTCCAAGTTATGTCAAAACACACGTTTCGTAACCAAATTTTTTTTTTTTTTTTATTTTGTTTGTCGGAAATTTTCAATGCTCCAAGACTGAATTGTTGAATTACCCAATATAAATCCCATTATAATATCTCATATTCTAGTCACTGTACTACTATACTTATATCAAATCTGCCATTGTATTCTATCCTATTATCATTTGTATTCTATTATCATGCCTGTATTCTATCTCCTTTGAAAGATCTTGTATAGTATATATATGGTTCGGGTTCAGCTCGTTCACCACTACAAGGTCATTCTACAGCAGAGGTTAACTTTAAAGTTCTTTCCCCAGAAACCAGTAGAAAACACCCTCTTTGATTTCTATCTTATAAATGTATAAAGGTTTCATGTTTCCGGGTTCGGTAGATTAATTATCAGGGTAGTGTTTAGGGGCCTGTACTTCCCCAATATCTTAGTTGGGGGCAAACACTTCCTGGATCGGAGATCGAATATCTAAACTCGGGAAAGAAATACTAGACACATTGAAATCAAAATTGGTTACCTTGGAGAATATATGGAGAATAAAAAGCGAGACAAGGTATGGATTCCAGGATTTGAAAGAGAAACGTAGAAGTACATGGAACCAAGGATAATATTGAGAGACATAGTTTGGAACCAAGGATGGGATTGAGAGACAAAGCTTGGAACCAAGGGAATGATGGAGAGACAAATCTTCGAACCAAGGTTAGGATGGAGAGACAAAGCTTGGAACCAAGGTTTGGATGGATAGACAAAGCTTGGAACCAAGGTAAGGATGGATAGACAAAGCTTGGAACCAAGGTTAGGATAGAGAGACAAAGCTTGGAACTAAGGTTAGGATGGAGAGACAAAGCTTGGAACCAAGGTTTGGATGGATAGACAAAGCTTGGAACCAAGGTTAGGATGGATAGACAAAGCTTGGAACCAAGGTTAGGATGATAGGACAAAGATGCAAACCAAGGGTATTATGTAGAGACAAAGCTTGGAACCAAGGTTAGGATGGAGAGACAAAGCTTGGAACTAAGGTTAGGATGGAGAGACAAAGCTTGGAACCAAGGTTAGGATGGAGGGACAAAGCTTGGAACTAAGGTGGTTGGAGAGACAAAGCTTGGAACTAAGGTTAGGATGGAGAGACAAAGCTTGGAACCAAGGTTAGGAAGGATAGACAAAGCTTCAAACCAAGGGTATGATGGATAGACAAAGCTTGGTTCCAAGGTTAGGATGAAGAGACAAAGCTTGGTTCCAAGGTTAGGATGGAGACACAAAGCTTGGAAGCAAGGTTACGTTGGAGAGACAAAGCTTGGAACTAAGGTTAGGATGGAGAGACAAAGCTTGGAACCAAGGAAAGGATGGAGAGACAAAGCTTCAAACCAAGGGTATGATGTAGAGACAAAGCTTGGAACTAAGGTTAGGATGGAGAGACAAAGCTTGGAACCAAGGTTAGGATGGAGAGACAAAGCTTGGAACCAAGGTTAGGATGGAGAGACAAAGCTTGGAACCAAGGATAGGATGTAGAGACAAAGCTTGGTTTCAAGGTTAGGATGAAGAGAAAAAGCTTGGAACCAAGGTTAGGATGGATAGACAAAGCTTGGAACCAAGGTTAGGATGATAGGACAAAGATGCAAACCAAGGGTATTATGTAGAGACAAAGCTTGGAACCAAGGTTAGGATGGAGAGACAAAGCTTGGAACCAAGGTTAGGATGAAAAGACAAAGCTTCAAACCAAGGTTAGGATGGAGAGACAAAGCTTGGAACCAAGGTTATGATGGATAGACAAAGCTTGGAACCAAGGTTAGGATGGATAGACAAAGCTTGGAACCAAGGTTAGGATGGAGAGACAAAGCTTCAAACCAAGGGTATGATGGAGAGACAAAGCTTGAAACCAAGGTTACGATGTAGAGACAAAGCTTGGAAGCAAGGTTAGGATGGAGAGACAAAGCTTGAAACCAAGGTTAGGACGGAGAGACAAAGCTTGGAACCAAGGTTAGGATGGAGAAACAAAGCTTGGAACCAAGGATAGGATGGAGAGAAAAAGCTTGGTTCTAAGTTTGAGATTGAGAGACAAAACTATAGAACTGGGATTGGCAAGAGTACGGTAGAATCAGATAGGATATATAGATTTAAAGTTCTCATGGCTTATAGAGGAAGCAACTTTAATATTTGGGTAGAATGTCAAGGCTCCAATTTAAAACTGTTTTGCACTATTTTGAGAATATTTATCACATAGTTTCTGAGGAAGGGAGGGGGGGGGNGGAGAGGCAATTTTAGTTATACAATGTTCCATCATGAGATACACTTCCGTCCTGTCTTGTTTTCAATCAATCCTCTTATTGTTATCCTTACTCAGGATACGCTCTTCTTAACAGCTATTTAACAATCTGATTTAGAAATATTGAACGTTGCTCCTTCTCCTAACATATAATTCAAGTTTTTAATCCTTTGTGGGTTAAGCAAATTTTTTGAAATCTCAAAATTAAAATGTAATCCCCCCAAACTAACGACCAAGCCCGGGTGAGTAAAGCTAAGTAAATATCAGGAAAAATATTTCTAAAGGTGCGCCTCTGCCCAGCCTCTGCTTATGTTAAGAATTACACTAAGGAGTATTAGAAAAAAATTCTCTAGATGTAAGGCTACGGTCTTTGAGGAAAACTAAAACATCAGGGAATTATACGCTTCTGCAAACATGTTCAAAGTGTGAACTGTCTTATAATTATCCTATTATTCTCATTTTAAACCATGCATATCTTGCATTAGTACAAGGTTACTTATGCCTCTCTGTCCTGTGTTATGATATACCCTGAGCATCTATCATTCACACACAGAACCCGGAAACCAGGAAGAGTAATCCTGACATTGATGAAGTTGAATGACTTTACATCTTTAATATTTGGAACCAACAAGGGATATTATTCATCCTTCAACTATTATATTGTACTCATTCTCTCAACCTTAGGACACATTTATCCCTCAACCATAGAACATACTCATTCCACAATTATAGGACAAACTCATCTCTTTATTATAAAAAAAATTCATCCCACAATTATAGGACAAACTCATCCCTCAACTCCAGGACAAACTCATCCCTCTACCCTGGGACAAACTCATCTTTTAACCCTAGGACAAACTAATATCTCAACCATAGGACAAACTCATTCCTCTACCCTGGGACAAGCTCATCTTTAACCCTAGGAAAAAAATCATCTTCAACCCTAGGACAAACTCATCACTCAATCCTAGAAAAATCTCATCACTCAACCCTGGGACAAACTCATCCTTCAACACTAGGACAAACTCATCTTTAAACCCTAAGACAAACTCATCACTCAACCCTAGGACAAACTCATCCCTCGAACCTAGGACAAACCCATCCCTGAACCCTAGGAAAATCTCATCCTTCAACCCTGGGACAAACTCATCCTTCAACACTAGGACAAACTCATCCCTCAACCCTATTACAAACTCATCCCTCAAACCTAGGACAAACCCATCCCTGAATCCTAAGACAAACTCATCCCTCAGCCCTGGACAAACTCATTCCTCAACCCTAGGACAAACTCATTTCTCAAATGAAGAAAATAAAATCGAGATGATTAAAGGGGGGGGGGGCACAAAACGTATTAATCTCCGGAAAATTTAAACATAACTTAGAATTGTAGTAGAACGCTGATTTTTTAATGTGAACTATAAATTATGTATTGTAACTGCAAAATTCAGTTTTATAAAAATCCGAGCAAAAGTGGTGGAAAATGTTCCTTTTTCGCATTTTTGCAATCTTGACACCATGAAATGAACTTGAATTTGCTTTAAGATGCTTTCAAACATGTAAGCCCTGAACAGTTTTGCACAAAAAAGTCTCAAATCCCCCCGCGCTTATGCATTTTAGTAAATATTTGCGATTCTTAGCTTTTTCAATTTTGGCATTATTCAAAATAAAAGTAGCATGCGATACATTAAACTACAGGTAAATTGGGACGAGGAATTCATTTCTGTGTTCAAAATAGACTTTGGACCGTTCTGATCGGCGCGCTAGTACCCAGATGTTACATTATGGGTCATTTTGCCACAAATTTTACATGTCGTATGTCGATTATTAGGTAATTAGGCACGGGGATTCTATTTCTTGGGACAAAAATGTAGTTTTAGCGTGCTAGTAGCCAGCAGCAATTATGTTTTGGGTCATCTAACCACATATTTTTCGAGTTGTATGTCAATTTACAGGTAATTTTAAATAATCTTATCTCTCATTTCAACTCATCCCTACTTCGAGTCAATAAAAACCTGTATCTGTATCAAGGTATACCTGGAGTTCAAGGTAAACTTAAAGCTCTGTATGTGTGTGTACCTACCTGGAAAGTAAATGAACCTCCTGCAGGATGCTCAGCAGGCTCCATAACAGATACATTGCTCCACTCTACAGTAAAACGATCAGGGAGGGATAAGACGGATATTGTCGAACTGTTAGATCTACTCGGGTCAAGCTACAAATAAAAATAATCTAAAAATAAACAAAAACTATGAATTATGATATAAAACTATGAATTATGATATAAAACTATGAATTATGATATAAAACTATGTTCAGTACTCAAGGAATTTTTAATCATTTTCTCCTCAAAAATGTTAAGTAATGCAGTCTGACATACAAACTGGTTCGGTCGTGCATGGAAATCCCAAGAAGTGACAACATTTTAAACAATCTTCAGCTAGAAAACAATCTTTTTATTGCCCTTGCTCAAAGTTTGTTTAGTTATTTTTATTTTTAATATTGCAATAAAATCAAGAACTTATTAAGTACAAGTTTTTGTGGTTTAACTAATCTGGGAAAATCTCCGGACTAGTTTCTCCGGGTTGGTTACTAGGCAGACGAAAACCTTGTGTATCATGGCTTTGAAACAATGACATTGAACCTGCATTGTGCATTCAAGGCAAGGGGGGGGGGGTAGGGGCCCCAGGAAATTGTCACGGGTTAAACTTTATAATTTTGTTGTTTAAAAGAAGCGGAACGTTGTTTATAAATCATAAGTCATTAAAAGTGTTAATACAACACGTTGTAGATTTTATTATGATTTATTATATATTAACAAATTATAATTAGGAAGTAAAACCTAAAATTATATCTCATTTCTTAAAAACATAAATAACAATTTTTAACTCTTTGGTCGTTAATTCTTCCATTTTTCATAGCTTAAATAATATGTAATTGCAATGCTGATCGTCGATCCATCCTTAAACTGCATAAGCTACTTTTTATTCATTTAAATCTACTCCTAATACGGAGAGGAACTAGCACTAACTCTCTTAGTATAAGGTTGAACTGGGCATTAGTAGAAGTTAAAGAAATTGGTTTGAACTTTAGCCCCCATTTTATATTCATAAATGTTTCTTTTCAAAATATTACAAGGCCTCTGTTACCATGGAATTAAAAGCGATTTTCTTAATATCTCACATTTTTTATTGTCGTTGTTTACACAGTGTACGTGTGTACGTACACGGTACATATATGTTATTCTTGAAACTGCAGTTTATTCACAGATTTTCAATATTCGTTTTTTTATTCTTTTTATTTTTATATAAATCTGATGTTTTCGTAATTTTTTTCTTGATTAACTTATTCAATTTCTTTTAAAAGCATTTTTTGTTTTCAAAATAACAATTTTTTTCTTTCGATTTCATTCCAATTAATTATTAATCAAGCGAAATACTTTTCAAATGAATTGAGTTTTTGCCACAAACTCAAATGTTCTAACCCCTATATCTTTGCATTCTGATGGTTTAAATCTATAATATTTAAACTTACATTATGTGATCTAACAGAATTTATATTTTAAAATATCCAAATTCTACGGTACTGTGTTGGAAAATTTTCTATTGTGTTTAGAAAATTTTTGTTTGTGGCAAAAATCAATCCCCTTTGTCATTTAGTCAATTTCCTTTTTTTGACAAAAGGCCACAAACTGAATTCTAATTAGTTCATGAAACTTTTTTCACGGTTAGCAGTTATACTGTTGCGAATAAAATTATAGATCTCCTTGAAAAAGTATAAAAATGTAAAATATATAAATATATATCCGCCCGCACAATATTTTCTATTTATGTATTGTGTGACCTCGGTTTAGTGATAATGCGCTGGTTAATGGCACCCCGTGTATGTGGGCATAGTGCAAGGATTAGAAAAAACCTTGGTATGGTATGTTATAATATATTATAATATATAGTTGATGCAAATTCATAAATGAAAGTAGTAAGGGCGGGGGGGTGTACTTAAAATATAAACTCTTCTTTCTTTCTCATACTTGTAAATTGTATAATTTTTAAAACGTGATTACTTATTTCCAGGAATTTATGTATATTCAGGAAATAGATTAAAAAAAATTTGAAAGATATAATTTTTATCAAAACAGATGAAATTGATAATATTCTAAACATATAATCGCTATTCGCTAACTCTCCACAAATTATAATTTCGAATGTCTGAATTTTGAAACCTGATGGCGTGAACTTTGAAATAGACTATTTGAAACAAAAAATTTCGTAATTTAAAATATCACAGGTCAGCGACATGAGGTTGCACAGATTCGAAATTTTTAGTTAGTGGTTCATGAATGTTTAGTTTTGTTTAGAATTTTTCTTCAAAGCTACTAAACCTTTAACATGATTATTATTACAAAAACTGGCTAAATACAATAATTTTCCTAAGCTAGGAACTTTTGTGATGGATACCCATAATCCCGAATGCTTAATCTCGATATTCATTGTAGGCACTTTTAATTTGAGAATCAATGATTGATCTTTTTATTTCAGTTATTCCTGCAGGGACGATAACCACTAGATATCAGATAAAGAGCAAACTAATCTGCAGATTAACAAAAGATCTTGAATTGATCTCGATATCCACAAAACAAAGCCTCAAATAAAATGTGTAAAAATTACCTTAATTCTAAGAGGTGCAATATACTGTGTTTTATAAATATAATCATGTAGACGGGAGGACAGGGAGAGGAATCCATGAGTAGTAATATGGAACTCGGAGATAAAATGGCCGTAGAACGGAAACGGAAACAGAGGTTTAATCAGCTCAGCTCCAACCATAGTATCGGACAAACCTAGAAAATAATAAAAATGAGATTAGGATGAATGCAGGAAATCCGGCACGGAGGGTAGGGGAGGGGGGGGGATTTGGGTGTCAACAGAAAGCGGAAACAATTTGAACTCTTTTAATTTCCTACTGGCATGAATTGTGTTTAAAGAGAAAGAATCATATTCATAGAAACAAAGCAAATATTTTTCAATCACAAATGATAGATTTAACAAACAATCAGAGGAAAAATACTTAAACATTTGTTTCTTTATAAACGTACAAAATCTAAGTGTGTAAAGTAGACAAAATTCAAGTTTTACACAAAAATAATGGTAATACAATTACCCAACATTATTTTGCTGAAAATACTATAGCTCTTGATCAACCCTCTCAGACCTCAACCTTTTAAAATGTAATTCCTATATATTTGCAACATGATTGTTTCGAATTTAAAACTTAGATTATTTGATCTAACAGAATTCTAGTTTGAAATATCTAAAATCTAGGAAATTGGGTTGCAAAATATCAGAATTTGTGGCAAAGACTCAATTCCTTCAGTGCTGCTTCTCTCTTGTACCTATATTTCATATTATGTATGATGACCCTAACAAGCGTTACTGTGTCAAATCTTTTCACTTTTCACATCTCCCCCCCCCCTTCAATTTTCAACTCTTCCCCCCCCTTTAACATTAAGTATTAGCAAATATTAACTCTGTACACACACAGATTATTTGCTTAACCTAGTTACTTAAACTCAGATCACCGTATCCAGTATCTTATAATAAGGTTCAAATTAGTATTCAGTATCTTATAGTAAGGGTCTAATTAGTATCCCGTATCTAATATTTTACTAAGGTTCTAGTATCCAGTCTCTAATAGTATACAAAGGTTCTAATTAGTATCCAGTATATAATATTATACAAAGGTTCTAGTATCCAGTATCTAATAGTTTACGAAGGTTCTAATTAGTATCCAGTATATAATAGTATACAAAGGTTCTAATTAGTATCCAGTATATAATATTATACTAAGGTTCTAATTAGTATCCAGTATCTAATAGTTTACAAAGGTTCTAATAAGTATCCAGTATATAATAGTTCACAAAGGTTCTAATTAGTATGCAGTGAAATTATCTTATTAATTTTTTGGTTAAGATCATGATTAATATCAAAAATAATTATAATTATTAAAATTTATTGGTCTAGTGAAAGCTTTCTAAACAAAATCACAACTTCTGCAGTATTATCCCACTTTCTGAAGTCTGACCAAACTTTATATAGAACCTAAATAACCTTTTCCGATCACAATCACATTTTCTGGAACTTTCCATTAAAACCTCCGGAACTTAATCACAATTATAGAAACAAAATAATAGTTGCTGGATCAAAATCACACTTTTCAGAATATCTTGAAGCTGTTTTATTGTATTATGTATTATGTATTATGTCCTGCAAAACTATTTTGGGCCTAAAGTTGATTATTTTCTTTTAGCATACAAAAATGAACGTGTATGCGCGCAGCTATTCATTTCTTTTAACTTGTACACCTCTCAAGCACACAATATTCATGCTGTGTATACAGCGCACATTCACGACACACGTCGTGCACATAAAGATGTACAAATCATGTTGAGTGCGCGCTAGGCCTGTCATGAAGCATAGAATAACACTTATTCAAGGTAATTAAACCAATATCCAGGTATCAGCTTTCATATAATATTCAATCTTACTCCAGATCCTATTCTTCTCTTAATATTCAAACCTACTATCCTTCCCTTGCTATGCAAACCTACTTTAAGTTCTATACTTCCCTTTGTATTATATATTTAATTAATCTTTAGATCCATATCAACTCTTTCCCGTGTATTCAAAGGGATTTTATATACCTATCTCATATCTAACCAATATCGGAGACCTTTTATTTCAAACTATTAATTGTGTTAGATCAAATAATCTTAGTTTGAAATATAAAAGATTGCAAATATATAGGGCTCAGAAAACCTGAGTTTGCGACAAAGACTTAAATTACTTTAATCCAGAATATTTTATTATAATTCTATGTTCCCTTTTCTTTAAGTCCTTTCCTTACTTTGGTATAATCCTACTCCAGTTTCCATTATGATCTTGTATTACAATCCTTTTCCAGGTCCTTCTTCCTTTAGTATATAATTCTGCTCCAGGTCCTATTTTTATCTTGGTGTTATAAAATCCTTTTTTCAGGTCCTATCCTTCCTTTCGTAAATAATCCTATTTCTATTCTATTTCAGGTTTTATTGTCATCTTGGTTTTTTACAATCCTTCTTCAGGTCCTAACCTTTTCTTTATTAAACAATCCTACTCCAGGTCCTATTCTTATCTTGTGTTATACAATCCTTCTTCAGGTTCTAACCTTTTATTTAGTAAACAATCCTACTCCAGGACCTATTCTTATCTTGTGTTATACAATCCTTCTTCAGGTTCTAACCTTTTCTTTAGTAAACAATCCTGCTCCAGGTTCTATTCTTATCTTGTATTATACAATCCTTCTTCAGGTCCTAACCTTTTCTTTAGTAAACAATCCTACTCCAGGTCCTATTCTTATCTTGTGTTATACAATCCTTCTTCAGGTCGTAACCTTTTCTTTAGTAAACAATCCTGCTCCAGGTCCTATTCTTATCTTGTATTATACAATCCTTCTTCAGGTCCTAACCTTTTCTTTAGTAAACAATCCTACTCCAGGTCCTATTCTTATCTTGTGTTATACAATCCTTCTTCAGGTCGTAATCTTTTCTTTAGTAAACAATTCTACTCCAGGTCCTATTCTTATCTTGTGTTATACAATCCTTCTTCAGGTCGTAACCTTTTCTTTAGTAAACAATCCTGCTCCAGGTCCTATTCTTATCTTGTATTATACAATCCTTCTCCCAAGTATTTTCCTTCCTCCGGATCAACCATTAATTACATACTTCCTCATTTTAACCAACTCCCATTAAATCCCGTTATTTTTCATCTTTCTCCATGTCCTGTTAAAGTCATATCCAAGTAAATAGTAATCTATTTGCTGTAAAAGTAGTAAGACTAATAATAATGATTATTACTATTGTTATGAATACCAAAATAACCTTCAAACACGACCTTTTCGGCACGCAAACGCGCTCACAAACCCACCTTTACAGGAGTATCATGAAAACGCGCGTGACCAAAATTCATATTTTTGCACGCTATAAAAATATATTTATGACACCAGATTTAATATCTGTTTGAGTCAGGTTTGTTTTTGATATTCTTACTTTGAAATCTGATATTAACGACATATTTCAGATATTTCTCAATATGCAGTTAAATATCAAATAAAATATCAATAAATATTCAGAGGATTTTTCGAACATAACGAAAGAACAGAGATAAAATGCCAATAGATAGAGTTGTCATGATCAGAATACTCTATCTAAAATCCTTTTCTTTCTCTTGTTACGCTTTTGATTTAAATTAGTTGTTTTTGTTTGTAAAGTTTAAATGACTTCTTGAAAGTGTCTCCTGTTAATCCTTGTAATGGAATCCTATTCTACGAAATTGATCTCGGGTCTGGTGTAAAGTATAATACAATGCCTTTAACCAATGTCATTGCGTGGAATCGTTAACGCATCATTGCGCTACGGGGTCAGTCTGCTTTAACCAGTTAATTAGTTGAAATAATCAAAATGTAAAGAAATTTATTTATACTTTTTGGCTTTCAGAATCGTATAAACAAGAAAAAAATTTGAAGTTTTATTGACAAAAAAGAACGCTTACCGACCCCCTCACCACCCTCCTACCCGGACGTCCTTTTTTTAATCCATCCTTCATATAAGATTATTAAATGTGAACTGTAAATTGAACATCATTTAGCCCCAAGGACAGAATTCAGTTAAACGTGGAATTAATATCATCAACGGTAATTTCCGTTTTCAAGAAAAACCCAACATGCTTCTTCTTTCCTCAGCTCAATGAATACAATACTGTTAATTCGTTCCTCTCGTTTTTGGTCTTTTAAAACTGACATTTTTCTGATTTAACTCCTCTTGGATAAAAGACAGAGCACCTTTTGATCCTCGAAATTAGATTTTAAATTTTCCAACGAACATAAAAAAAGAAATTTATACACAGATCTAGATAAGCTAATCAGTTAATTTATAAACAACTAATTAAACAAATCAAACTTTTCAAAATGTCGTCTTTCTCTGCCACTGTTTTGTGGGTGTCACTGTACGTATACAAATTTATATTGAATTTATAATGATGTAAAAGTAAAAAATCGTGATATTTGTTAAATCAAACATTTCCTAATTATTATCTCAAAATATGATCTTTATCATGTTTATCAAATCAGAAACCTAATGCCCTTGTACCTAGTACAAACTCATATTTTCCTTATTGAAGTTGGGTATTGTATGACTACTACAGGGATGATTTTGCAGTGCAAAAATGATTTTGCAGAGAAAATAAATGATTTTGCAGTGCAAATAAATGATTTTGCAGAGCAAAAAATGATTTTGCAGAGCAAATAAATGATTTTGCAAAGCAAATAAATGATCCTGTAGAGCATATGAATAATTTTGCAGAGAAATCAAAGGATTACGCAGAGCAAGTAAAAATTCGTGCAGTGAAAATGATTTTGCAGAGCAAATAAATGATCTTGAAGAGCAAAAAAATGATTCTGTAGAGCATATAAATGATTTTGCAGAAATATTAAATGAATACGCAGAGCAAGTAAATGGTTTTGCAGAGAAAATAAATAATTTTGCATCTTTGATCTCCAGACTGAAAAATACGACAGAGAATGGAAAAAGTTCGAAAAATATTGATAAACAAAATTGTAATAAGTGTTTTGAGACATAAATGAGGGGAACGGACGATAAAAATAGGATAAAGGGATACGAGAAGCTTAATTAAAATGGAAATAAATGAAGTAATAATAAGATTGAGAAAGCAGAATCAGTATAAATGATCGAGGGATGATATGTGGAAAAACGAATTTTATCAAATATGACAAATTGTAAAACACAATATTTGTGAAATTAATGAGAATTTGATGAATTGAGATTATATAACTCACCCTGCTTGATTTCCGCATTCTCCATGTCTATAAAGTTCTCTTCAAAAGAGTTTGCAATATTATTCTGATAGACTGACAGAGTGTAATATTTATGGTTGTCCTGCAGGGTTGTTGACGGGCCAAACTGATCCGCCCCCACCCCGACCACCCACAACCACGCCCACAGCATGGCTCTAGAGTGGAGGTGGGTGGAGCATGAAAGGAGGTGTATAAGGAAGGAAAGGATAAAGGATGAAGGGTTTTAAAGGAGTTGCTCCCACTGCAACACTGACTATACTGAACCCCTATACAAGGTTACGCAACTAGCGCCAACACTCTCAGGGTTCCCGAGATTAGAACCAGATTATATCCTACAGGCATAACATTGATTCTTTTGGAAAACAGAAAATATATTCGGACAAAAACTTTTTTAAAGAATAATGAAAAAAAATCGGAAGTGAATCGTGAACCCTGATAAAAGGCCCCAATGCCAGAGGTAGGATAGTGCTTGAAGCGTGTGATGCCTGGGAACCTTGAAACCGACCAGTTCCTACTCTAAAGACTCCTCTAGCTGGGGAAACAACCAGGAGATAAAGAGAGGGAACAGTCCCGGAGGGGGCAACAGTTCAAACCATTTAACTTGGATTAACGGGTTGACAACTGACAAGCAGTTCCGCAGTATTTACAGTTGGATCAAAATATAAAATAGTAGTTTTAAGGAGGGTTAGTATACGTATACTTACATGTACATGAAGACTTTGTTGGTAAAAATGGGTTAATAGTGGTTAACACATTATCTAATAGTTTGAAGATTTTGAAACAGATGAAAAGTTTTGAAGGGTTCTGAAGAGTTTTAGGCACTAGGTGGTTCAACATAGGAGTTTTGGTTCAGGAAAGTGTACAGGTTTCAGAAGAGTTTATAGGATTCAGGAGAGTTTAAAGGGATCAGTAGAGTTTACATATTTTAGGAAAGTTTTCAAGGTTCAGAAGAGTTTTCAGGGCTCAGGGGAGGAGTCTACAGAGTCCAGAGAGTTTACAGGGTTCAGGAGAGTTTATACGGTTCAGTTGAGTTTGCAGGGTTTAGTAGAGTTTACAGGTCACGGAGAGTTTACAGGGTTCATAAGAAGAGATTTCAGGGTTCAGTAGAGTTTATAGGATTCAGGAGAATTAACAGGGTTTAGGAGAGTTTAAAGGGATAAGTAGAGTTTATATGATTCAGGAAAGTTTTCAGGGTTCAGAGGAGGAGTTTACAGGGTTCAAGAGAGTTTACAGGGTTCAGGAGAATATACAGGGTTCAAGAGAGTTTACAGGGTTTAGGAGAATTTACAGGGTTCAAGAGAGTTTACAGGGTTTAGGAGAATTTACTGGGCTCAGGAGAGGAGATTACAGGGTTTAGTAGAGTTTACAGGATTCAGTAGAGTTTACAGGTCACAGGAGAGTTTACAGGGTTCAGGAGAGATTAGTAAGAGTTTTAAAAATTGTTACATCTGGAAGGATCGGTACATAAGATGCTACATAAATAGTGGAACAAAAAAAGGATTGGTACATAAAAAGGATTGGTACAGTTTTTAAAGATGAATACAGAAAAATCAACTGAGTTTTCATCATTTTTTTATCATTTTCAAAATTTGTGACTTTTCCTTTAACAAGCTTGAATTTACTCAATGTTATATCCTCAACTGAAGAACCTGTAACTAAGGTTGGTTGATTAGTTCCAAGATCTCTGATCATAGAGAATAGAATATATAGAGAGGAATTTACTAGAAAAAAGTGTAAAACGGCCATTTTGTTGTACTGTTTCCATACTGCAGGTGTACTTCACATTTTTGTGCTATATAACCTTTTGGGCCCTGGAACATCATTTTATAAAAAAATTTTCTTGAAAATTATTTGAAAGCCAATATTTTAGAAATATTCAAGATATCAACATATGGTTCAACTTTTTTTCCACTAAAATTGAGGATGGAGATAAACTTAATATTTTAAATTCATTTTACAAATTTTCAAATGGGAAAATTATTTTGGAATCAGAATCTTCAATTCAAAATTTTTCTTTAACTAAATGTTTTGAAAATAAAATCTAAAATTAATATTAAAAAACACAAATTATGAAATAGGCTGATTTCATAAAGGAGTAATTGACCAATGATCATTTCACATAGACTTTCACTTTACTATCGATGATTTTCCGTTATAACTATAAATTAAGTGATGTTTTTTATTCACCTAATTCAAATTATAAAGTTTATTTAACAGTTTAAAAATTTCGAAATTGAAATGGATAGTCTAGGGAACATACTGTATTAATGTACTCTACTGCGTATAATTTGTGAACATTTACATGATTTGTACACTTTGAACTCCCTTTCAGGCTGAAAGGGACTGAAAAAATTCATACCGAGAGATTCTTTTAATTCCTCTCTATATATTCTATTCTCTATGTCTCTGATCCTGTCCAGTATCAAGGTAAGGGATGAGATGAGTGAGGATTGAGAAACAATTCCTTGAAGAATAAAGATTTGAATATCTTGATGCTTTGTTTAGGTTTAGAGAGAACCTTGAAGCTGGTGGTGCATCTCACTACACCTCAGCTGGACCTTTTTAGCATTTTTTAGCATTGTGGATGGAAGGGGGAGGGGGGAGGAGGGGGGGGGGAGTCTAACAGGTGTGCACTGTGCAATGTTCATTGTGCATAGGCAATCCTGATATTCAACTGCAAGGAAAATTTAGAAGAGATAAGTTTTTGATATATCCATTTTATCTAAAAGTTTTATAGACCAAGCGGATATAGTTTTCCTTTAAAACTTATCGAAGTAATTTCAACTGACCATCTTCTTGAAAAAGTTACGTACAAATTCACAACGGTACCCTTTAAACCGTTGTCTGAACAAAAATTTGAAAGATATCCTTTATTTTAACCCAAAAATTTTAAATGCGGTATTTTAATAACAGCAATTTGCGGATTTATGCAGCATGAACAAGGGAGACATTGCCATAATAAATCTCTTTTAGAAACAAGCAAATCTAGAATTGTTATCATAATAAAGGTTAAAGGATACCGTTGGGACTGGGAGCCCGGAATATAACTCTTAAATAGAGGATCACTTGAAGTTATTTAGGTTTTTATAAATTGATTGTTTCATAAATATTATTATCGGTGGTAAGTGAAATCTATGGTTTTCACTTTTTTGGGGGGCTCCCCGGCACTTGACGCCCATTATTACGTGATCCTTTCAGCACACATATTACATATATACATTATATAATGTATATATAAATATATGTATTACTTTTGTCTGTTGGTTTTTTTCCTAATAAATGTCAAAATATTTAACTTACTGGGCCATATTATTGTATAATCTGGGACCATATTACTGTATAATCTGGGACCAGATTTAAAGAATTCAAGGTAGGTCGCTGAACTACATACCTCTGGTTCAAGTAATGAATTCGAGGTAGTTACATACCGCTGGTTCAAGTCATGAATTACCGATCCCAATTTAAATATTCATGATAATCTATATCAGTGATTCAGGATTTGAACCAGATGTAGCTTGGTAGTTCAGCGATATCTCCAATTCATAAAATTCGGTCCCTGGACTTGAGGGATGACTTATGGACGAAGAGAATAGAATATATATAAGAGTAGAATTTACTAGAAAAAGTGTAAAACGGCCATTTTGTTGTACTGTTTCCATACTGCAGGTATACTTCACAAAAATGCGCTATATAACCTTTTGGGCCCTTGAACATTATTTTATAGAAAATCTAAAATTAATATTAAAAGAAAACCCAAATTATGAAATAGGCTGGTTCCATAATTGACCAATGATCATTTCACATAGGCTCTATGCCTTTCACTTTACAAACGATGATTTTCCGTTATAACTATAAATCAAATGATGTTTTTTATTCACCTAATTCATTTTATAAAGTTTGTTTAACAGCTTTAAAAAATTCGAAATTGAAATGGATAGTCTAGGTTACATACTGTATTAATGTACTCTACTGCACATAATTTGTGAACATTACTTTGAACTCCCTTTCAGTCTGAAAGGGACTGACAAAATTCATACCGAAGGATTGTCTAAATTCCACTCTAATATATATTCTATTCTCTTTGCTTATGGCTCGCTAGGATTTAAATTATATTTCTGAAAAAAAGCATCCGTTTTTATAATCTAATATGCCAAGCTCAAAATGTTCTGCATCTTTTCCACACTCCTTTAAGCTTATTCATATCATAATACAATATTACCTTCAATTCTGTAATATGATACAGAGCAGCATTATTATATGTATATTGATTTAATTACACCTATCAGCATATATTGTCTATTTGTTTGTTTGATGAGGCAAATCATGTTCTGAACTTAATCAAGGTTTTGCTTAAATGTCAAATTTTCAGCGCTAACCTAGAAAATTTAGTTTTTCCGGAATTTTTGTACGATTGAATTAATCATATTAAAGAAATCTTATAATGAGATTTAATAAACAAATTTTAAAATGATATTTTATTAAAGGGATATACAAAGATATTTTATTAAAAGGATATACAAAGATATTTTATTAAAAGGATATACAAAGATATATTATTAAAGGGATATATAAAGATATTTTATTTAAAGGATATATAAAGATATTTTATTAAATGGATATACAAAGATATTTTACTAAAGGGATATATAAAGATATTTTATTAAAGGGATATACAAAGATATTTTATTAAAGGGATATATAAAGATATTTTATTAAAGGGATATACAAAGATATTTTATTAAAGGGATATATAAAGATATTTTATTAAAGGGATATACAAAGATATTTCATTAAAGGGATATATAAAGATATTTTATTAAATGGATATACAAAGATATTTTATTATAGGGATTCTATAAAGGGATTTGATAAATAGATTTAAAAAACGAGTTGACTACAGGGATTTACATAAAGGGATTGTATAAAGGAATTTAATCAAAGGGATTAAACAATGGTATTTAATTATAGGGATTGTAGAATGGGATTCAATTAAAAGGACTGCATAAAGGGATTAATTATAGGGATTGTAGAAAGGGATTTAATTATTGGGATTGTACATAGGTATTTAATAGGGATTGTATAAAGGTATTTTATTATAGGTATTGTATGAAGATATTTAATTACAGGGACTGTATAAAGGTATTTAATTAATGGAATTAAACAAAGGGATTTAATTAAAGTCTAAAGGTTTAAATTACGCATTTTTAATATAAATGATTGCACTTAATATTTTTCAGGGTATCCAAATAAACATGGGAACTAAGAGAAGACTAGAATATCGTTTTATTTTTCGATAAATGACACAAAGTGCATAAAAAATATTTTTCGTCTTCTGAGCTTTTTAAAATGTGGTCTACCTTATTTGAATCTCTCAAATTGACCGAGATATAAAAATTTGCACAGTTTTGTTAACTTTTAATTAACTGGAATCTGGACAAATTTCCACCTCCGGCAATTTTAATGGTGAAAAAAATGTTAGACCATATTTTGGAAATCCCGAGACTCGTAGATTTCGGTTTTAAACTTTTTAACTGTGATACTACAAAATTATATTTACGAAACAATCCTGCTTGGAACAAAGACGATATAGAAGTCGTCATTTAATTCCTATGTTTATTGGAACACCCTGGATGAAAATAAAAGACCCGTATAAAGATAAGATGTATGTATCCGTGCAATCTATACTTTCATCCTATAGAACGGTACTTAGTGCACCATACGGGTATCATGCCTTGAAATGCAACGAAGTTTGACTTTAGAAATGGATCAAAAATTAAGAAATAAATGAATTTGTTTTATTTTACATTTTTATTCAGTTAAAATAGAACAATTACAAAAAAAAACATGAACATGAACTTTATGTACCGAAGTGGACACCATCAACTTTGAAGCTTGCCAAACTTTGTTGTAGTAATACACGTTTTTATTAAATATTATCTTCAATGGTCAGGGGCGGATACAGGATTTAAGTGAGGGGGGGGGGCAAGATTTTTTAGGAACAAAAAAATTCATAATTAGGAACAAAAAGACTCAAAAAGAGTCAAAATTAATGACTAAAGACTAAGAAAACTAGATTTTTAACTTTTCACACATTATACTTTATTAAGACAGATATTTTTCCTGTTTTGCACTAGGGTTTCTTTCCCTTAAGCATGTCCCCCCGCCTCCCCCCTGTATCCGCCCCTGTCAATGGTTTTTGAAGTTTTTAAGAGACTTCACAAGCATCTGAGAGGTTTCCACAGCTTAGTCATAAATTTGACAAATACTCTTTAACGTTCTGTTTAAAATTCTCATTTTTTTGTAACTGCTTTTTTCCATTAATTTTTGTCATTCTTTCCATGTCAAACAAAAGTAAACTGGAGACATAAGATTTGAAGTTTTCATTGATAATTCAACTTATTGAATAGCTGTTAAGAACAAAAATGTTTTGAATTTTTATGGAACAGAGCTGAAAACTTTAGAATGGTGGATATAGAGATTAATGCGTGATCCTCTCTTTTTCATAATATCGAGAGTAATCTAATCTTGTACTTGTATCCTGAAAAGTGTTAAAAATTCAACCAATCAGAGTCGCGTATACGAAGCCGATAAATTTGAAATTTTGCGCGCCATTTAAGATTATATACAGAAATGGGAGGAACTCTCGAATTTAAGAATACCGGTTTTTGATTTTTCTCTCCTATATCAAAGAAAGAACGGTTTAGGAAGAAAATCAAAAGTGTGTCCATTGGATGCTCAGATTAAGTAATCGGGATTAAGAATAGCTCATTCTAAAGTTTTCAGCTCAGGATAAATTTTCATTTCTCGTTGTTGTGCGTGAAATTAAAACTAGAGGAGCTGTGAGGTCACAAAGTTGTACCAGTGATGTCGCAAAATAAACGTTCACCTTCTGTCTATAGTTTGCAGTGTTTCTACTTTTGTACATTATAAAATTAATGTTTTCCTTTAAAATTCACAGAATAGGAAAAGAGGGGGTTTGATATCGCAGTAGAACACTGTATTAAGGCTTGGAGGAAGAAATTCAAACATAAAAATGTCAATGTTTTATATCTAATATTTTTCATAATGGATCATAGATATTTTATTTTTCATCGTACAGAGTTTCCAAATAAATATGGGAATTGAGAGATGACTTGAAAGTTGTCTTTGATTTCCGATATTTAATGCACGGTGAAGAAATTATAAAATCGAGGATTTATACAAAATTGGTAGACCACATTTTTTCTCTCTAGTGTTTATAAAAATACTGCGTGGATTGAAGTGGATATATAAAAGATATGTACATACATCTCAGAATATATATAATACAGAATAACAGGTATATATATTCTGAGACATACATACAGTGGTGAGCCACGCCCACTGTAAACGCCGCTTCATTTCAAGTACCAGGCCGACTTTTAATCAGATAGAGAGAACTTTAAAATACAAAAAAGGCAAAAACGAGACAGTGCGCTTAATGACGATCCCCTTCTTTTGAACTTTATGTGCATCATATAAATAGATACAGTGTCGGTAACTGAACTGAAATGGTGATTTAATACATGTTAAGTACTTGATAATTCATTGGTATATAATTAATAATTATACACAGACTCCTGTATGCCGAGTCCATTAGCGCCTCATCCAATCAGGGTTCAGTCATGTGTTTGTTGTCTATTCTAAACCAATAGAAATAATATGGCGGTAACATCTATCTTTCTATCTATCTCATTATCCAATTAGAGTTATGAATCCTTCAATCGGTGCTATCAGTAAATGGAAATATTTACTTCAACTGAAACTATAGTGCACAAACCACTCTTTATTATGTAACATTTTCAGCACTGGACACTATATTGAAATATATATCAGCCTCTGAATTGTTATTATTATTATTGTGTTCAAAATTTAATTAAAAAACTAGAACTGGTATAATTTTTTATAACCCTAAGATTCTGATTATTTTAGAACTATTGTTATTAATATTTATAGATTATAGAAAAATATCTTTCTCTGTAATACTGATCAAATAAAAATATTAAGTTTAAAGATGAAAATAATTTGTATAATTTCAGTCCATTGAGTTGCAGAAACTATAAAAGTTGTTTTGTTCAAATCTTGAGTCATGATTCACTTTTAAATAAAACTAGCAAACAAGAATTCTATTTATTTATATAAATCCAACCCTGTTCGAATATACATAGCTAGACACTATACAGGGAAACCCACAAAGAATGATATTTTTTAACGCCTTTGAACCAACTTTAACGACCCATGATTCCCTCAACAGCGGGATGTTAAAATAGCCTCCCACTCTGCAAAATTGTCATGACAAAATTCGCGCATTTCTCCATGAAAGACGATATAATTGTGTACAATTAATTTTTCGGGAAAATAGAAATTTTACTTTTAATTACGCTACGCTCTGGATGTTTTGTAGACAAACTTGGTCTGGGGAAACCTTGGTTAAGTAAAATTCCATTAACTTCCCTGTAAGTAGTTGTAGATAATCATTATTCATGTTAACTTCACGGTTTATTGCAGCTGTAAGATTGCAGGACGTGAGAAAGTATTTTAGGGGTTTCGTTAAAGCCTCACCCTCTGTTAGCAACCCTTACAAAACATTTTGTGCTGACAACGTTTCTCCAAGTATTCTTGTAAACATGTACACGTCCTTGTACGTGTTGTACAATGGTACCGGAGCAACCCTCATCACCTGACCTCTCAGGTCACAGATAACACCTTTCTCCTGGAGCCGAGCAAACACCTTCTCAACCTTAGTTCTACATTCAACAACCAGATTTTTATATTTTAATCTTAATGGTATTGATAAAAATAAAAGTGGGTATATGGTGAACTTTGTTACCACAAAAAAGCCACATGGATTCATTCTTTAACACTAAAACTCCGGGTCTTTAAAAAATTAAGATACTAAATTAGAAATTGCGATTTCAAAGAAAAAAAGTTCAATGATTGTAGTCTTTACTCTATATTTTTATTATTATTAAATGTGATTTTGACAATTTTAGACATAAATCAAATCACCTTAATAAACCTTAATATTAACGAAGACACAAAGCTTTCTACAGTTTTCTGGTTACTGCTGTACAATATTTCATTATACGTTATTAAAAAAAAAAATAGGATTTGAGGAAAAACTAAGGATTTCAAAAATTCCAATAATAGTTTTAAAATCTGGTTTCCTGAATACAAGAGACAACTGACAACCTCTCTCAGCAGGATTCTTAGGCGTTAAAATCTCCAATTTATCTTAAAAAATAAACTTAAATCATATGTTTTTAAGCTACAGTTAATACAAGCATTTCTTAAATATGAAGATTTAAAATGAGGTTTTAATTAAATTATTAAACTTAAAAATAAATAAACTAATGATAAAATTTTCAGACTAAGAGTAAGTCCCAAGAAAGATTTACTGCTTTTTTAACCATAAGCAAAACTTTTACAATAAAAAAAATTTAATGATTTAGATTTTTTTTTAAGTTTAAAGTTTGATACCCGAGAATTTCAAGGTTAGAAGGTGCTCTAGGTATCCAGTGAGCAGGAACTGCTTTTCTAATATTTTCTTCATCCCCACCTATATACAGATACAAGGTTTAGGACTCTAAAGATATAAGGTTCAAGATTTACGGAGATTAGGGATATACTAAGGCCGACATTAAAGACTGGAACGACGACTTGAAGGTCGTCTTTGATCAAAGATTGATCTAAAAACAAAGTTTGGATCAGTAAAATGTTGCATGAATTATACGTTTTAGGAGGTACCATCACATTATGGAAACCTGAAAGGGACTGTAAGCGTAATTTAAAGTGACCCTCCATGCTTATTGTTTTCAACAATAATTAATTACAATTATGGTTTCTCTCAAAGAAAACAAATAGAAATTTTCAAAATTATACACCTTTAAGCTGAGAAAAACGGCAATTGATTAAAGGTTTCAAGGGTACCGTTGTGAATCAGGAATTGACATATTTTCATGGAGGGTCACTTGAAATTACGCACACAGTCCCTTTACATAAACCGTTTAACTTTTCGATACACACTTTTATATTAGATAGATATCAGAAATATTCAGACGATTTTTAAGTCGTGTTTATAACTGTCATGCTTATTGGATCACCCTGTATCCAAGCTAAAAGATTGAACCTCCTTGAATATCTCTAGGCTTGCAAGATGAAGAGCAGCTAACCAAGGAGGAGGATTACACAACCTAGACACAAATCTTTTCATCAAAAAATTGAAAACGTAATTTGAAAATTTGATTTTTAATTTAATTTTGAACGTACATTTTTATTTGCGTCAATTCTTTTAATTCTGGTTAAATCAGGAATCAAAGTTTTCAAAATAATTTGAATCTTTGCCACTGACTCAAATTTTCTAATCCCTTTATCTTTTCATCCTGATGGTGTAAACCTTTGATATTTCAAAGATTATTTTATCTAACAGAATGCAAAGTTTGAAATATCTAAGGTCTACGACATCAGGTTGCAAAAATGTATAGAACATTAGAGTTTGTGGAAAAGACTGAACTCCTTTGTTCCATTATAAATAAAATTGAAAAAGATTATATCCCTAAATGTTTCAGCTCCGACACTTGCATCGATTATCTCTCTCATCTCGAATCGTGTCTCCTAAATCAATGAAAAATTAAAAAAATAATATTTATTTATTAAGAGAAATTCCAAGAATACGCAAAGTGCTATAACTTCTTTGTGATTTATTTTCAAAAGGAATCTTTTTTAAGCATGCTTTTAAGGACACAGTTTTCTGCTGCGTGTTCAGGATCAGTCTTGATTCTATTTAGTTTGAATGTAAGTTTTAGAAAAGTTATTGAATAAATTTAAATTCTTTGAAATTTTCTCATTTATGAAAGCCAACTAAAAGACATATCTCGAAGTTACGATAAAGTGGTTGGGGTTTTAAATAATCAATATTTACTATATTTTCGCGGCGCTCTTTCTGATAGAAATTAAAATTCAACTTTCAACATTTTCTATCACAAATTATGTAAAAAAAACAGTATGATATTCAAAGATTTCTTCATCAAACGAAAGTTCCAGAGGCACTGTTGTAAATTGTGCATGAAACTCTTTAAATGGTGGGGGAGGGGGTCACTAAAACATTCGCTAACAGTCCTGGATGCAATAAAACTATTCTCCATCACCTGTTTATTGCTCCACCAGCCCTGTAGATGAGATGGAGGATTGTTATGATGTTTATTATGAAAGAAAACTCCAGATATACCTCCAGCTCCGGAGTTCAAGTACTTGTATGAACACCAAACTGCAAAATCTGCTCCCCACTCATGCATCTTGAGTTGTATATTACCAACTGCATGAGCTAGATCCCATCCTATCCTTATATCCAGGTCAACTGCAACCCTGTACAATCAAAATAAATATTTAGAAATATAAAACACAATACAGTGAGAACCAGAAAACTATGGAATAGGAAAAAAACTTTTAGACTCAAGTTATAACTTTGAATAGTCCAATGTATGACACAGCCATTATGCATGGTGTGAACAGCCCCATTTTACTGAATACGTGATCTCGTAAGTCACAAGTAAACTATTTTCTTTGTAACATCATCAAATACACATATTTTTTATTTAAATCGGCTTCCTAATCCACAGTTTTCAAGGTCTCGCTGTACATTAAACATTTAAAAAAAAAGATAATTTTACCAATAGAGCTCCTTTTTTAAGGTTAAGCATTGTTTTCATAAACCCTGAAAGTCAAAATTTTACAGAGTGTAACAAAAGCAAACTTTAAGAGCATTAATAATTTTAAAATATACGAAACTTCTGAGAACTTCTCCTAAAACCCCAAACCAGGTAAATACTAATTCCTAACTATGTCCTTCTGTACAGCTTTAATCTATTGAGAACGAAATTTCAAAGGTCCCACGTGTTAAGAAAGATGTCTAAGAAATTTTAAAATTACTCAAATATTTTCTCCTTTTCTCTTGTTTTGACCTGCAGGTTAATGTTCTTAAACCTGTAGTTTTCTCCTTTTCTCTTGTTTTGACCTGCAAGTTAATGTTCTTAAACCTGTAGTTTTCTCCTTTTCTCTTGTTTTGACCAGCAAGTTTATGTTCTTAAACCTGTAGTTTATTCCAATAANGCAGGTTAATATTCTTAAACCTGTAGTTTTCTCCTTTTCTCTTGTTTTGACCTGCAAGTTAATGTTCTTAAACCTGTAGTTTTCTCCTTTTCTCTTGTTTTGCCCAGCAAGTTTATGTTCTTAAACCTGTAGTTTTCTCCTTTTCTCTTGTTTTGACCTGCAAGTTTATGTTCTTAAAACTGTTGTTTTCTCTTTTTCTCTTGTTTTGTCCAGCACGTTTGTATTCTTAAACCTGTGGTTTTCTCCTTTTCTCTTGTTTTGACCTGCAAGTTTATGTTCTTAAACCTGTAGTTTTCTCCTTTACTCTTGTTTTGACCTGCAAGTTTATGTTCTTAAACCTGTAGTTTTCCCTTTTCCCTTGTTTTGACCTGCAAGTTTATGTTCTTAAACCTGTAGTTTTATCCTTTCTCATGTTTTGACCCGCAAGTTTATGTTCTTAAACCTGTAGTTTTCTCCTTTTCCCTTGTTTTGACCTGCAAGTTTATGTTCTTGAACCTGTAGTTTTCTCCCTTGCTTAAATTACCTTGTTATAGCCTCCATGTCAAGTTTCTGTCCTGTATAATACTGAACTCCAGGAAGCATAATCAGAGCAAGATTATCCTTCTCAACCTCGATAACCTTGAGTATATCTTGAGTCTGGAGAATATACTCTCCCTCCCGGGGCCGGAGCATAATCAACTGATCCTCAGACACTCCCAGGACCCTCATCAGGGATTTAACAGCATATCTAGAATAATTTGCAAAAAATACTAATTTTTGGTTTTTATAAAGTTCATAAAGTTTCAAATAATTTGTTTACTGTTCAAGGGAGTGTACTCGTAATTTCAAGTGGACCTCCATGCAAAGATGTCAATGCCCGATTCACAACGTTACCTTTGAAACCTTTATCTGGTCAAAAGTTTGGAAGAAATTGTAGTTTTATGAGGTTTGAAAGTGTTTATTTATGCAGTAGAAATGCACAAGTCACTTTTGTAGAGAAGCCCTGATTGAAAATTATAAACATTCATATATAATTCATACTTGATCAGACAAAGCTTTGTGAATCGTATTTGTTAATTGCATGGATGGTCACTTGAAACTGCGCTTGCAGTTTCTTAAAAAATCCGAAAACGTTCTTTGAAGGGGATAAAGAAATCTCTTCGATATTCTTGAAGAAAGAATGATCAACTCAAACTCTAAATAATAATTCCTGTATATTTGCAACTTGATATTTGAATCGCAAATTTGTAGTTTGATATTTCAAAGGTCTACAACATTAGGTTGCAAAGATTAAAGGATAAAAAAATTAGGTTGGGGCGAGTAATCAGTTTCTTTTCATGAAAGGAAAAAACCAAAAAATTAAATTTGTAACCTGTCTGATGGAAAAGCATGATCTTCAATAATAATCTTGTTCCTGGTTCCCTGGGGTTTATAGAAGGCCAGCATAAGAAGATGAAGGTTGACGGTCAACCCGTTCATTATTCCAACCTCAGATTCATCAGCTGCTCCAACAATACTAAAATCAGTTACAGTGAGACACAGAAAACTGTTGAATAGGAAGACGACGTTGTAGAATCAAATGTTTATTTGATGTTGATAAAATCAAATAGTTTCGCCAGTAGGTTGAAAACTGTTTAATAGGAAGACGACGTTGTAGAATCTAATGTTTATTTGATGTTGATAAAATCAAATAGTTTCGCCAGTAGCTTGAAAACTGTTGAATAGGAAGACGACGTTGTAGAATCTAATGTTTATTTGATGTTGATAAAAATCAAATAGTTCCGCCAGTAGCTTGAAAATCAACTTATCAAGTGAAATGCGCTTACTCATTGGACTATTTAAAATCTTAACAGTCTAACAGTCGTCTTCATTTCTCAAAGTTTTATTAATTTAATTGAAAATGACAATATATAACACACCCTGAATTTGTATTATTTACGATCTAGAGACGGGTACCTAGCTATAATATTTTTAGCTGGCTGGTCAGCTTATGCCACTGATACTTTACCTGTATATATATGTATTTCACCCTTCTTTTTTTCAATTGTGAACATTTTCTCTCTTTATGCATTTTAAAACATTAACAAAAAAGTTAAAGGCTACTTTTTGAAATTTTGATCATCTATAAACATTCCCTGGGGTCATGTGAGTTCACACACAAAATTTGGGCCCGATCGGTTCAGCCGTTTTAACGTTTATTGGATACACACAGATAGACAGACAAGCAAATTATATATATAATACCTGTTTATCTGTTAAACTGGCTGGTCAGCGTATGCTGCTAGAACTCTTCCTATATATATATATTATATATACTATACCTGGCTATAATATGTTTAGCTGGCTGGTCGTCAGCGTATGCTGCTGGTACTCTACCTGTATATATATAATATAAATACAATACCTGGCTATAATATGTTTAGCTGGCTGGTCGTCAGCGTATGCTGCTGGTACTCTACCACTAGTGTGCATGAAAATGCCCTTATTTCCCCAGGCATCCAACTGTTCAGCCATATACCTTAATATCAAGATTTGCGATTGAAAGTATATATCGAGATATTCCAAAATATATTCTAATTTTTAAATTTAATTATTACCCTACATGATTAAAGTTTTACTTAAAAATCTTTAATGATTTGATATGCTCAGTTACTTTTGCCTTAAAGGCTTAAAATTTAGACTGTTCCTAACTTACTTATCTGCTCTTCTAGGTTTGAAACCAAGACTGTTCCTAACTTACTTATCTGCTCTTCTAGGTTTAAGACCAAGACTGTTCCTAACTTACTTATGGTTTAAGACCCAGACTGTTCCTAACTTACTTATCTGTTCTAGGTTTAAGACCAGGACTGTTACTAACTTACTTATCTGCTCTTCTAGGTTTAAGACCAAGACAGTTCCTAACTTACTTATGGTTTAAGACCAAGACTGTTCCTAACTTACTTATCTGTTCTAGGTTTAAGACCAGGACTGTTACTAACTTACTTATCTGCTCTTCTAGGTTTGAAACCAAGGTCTTCCTAACTTACTTATCTGCTCTTTTAGGTTTGAAACCAAGACTGTTCCTAACTTACTTATCTGTTCATCTAGGTTTAAGACCAAGACTGTTCCTAACTTACTTATCTGCTCCTCTAGGTTTAAGACCAAGACTGTTCCTAACTTACTTATCTGCTATTCTATATATGTTAAAGACCAAGACTGTTCCTAACTTACTTATCTGCTTTTCTAGGTTTAAGGCCAAGACTGTTCCCAAGGAGATAAACACAATCCTGCTCCGGATCTCCGATAGTCTCTAAATAGTTTTTATTACAAATAAACAAAATTTAATAAAAAAGTGATTGCTCAGACCCGGTCCTCCTTCTCTGCTACAGGGGTTTGTTTAAAGTTTTTATAATTATTTACATTGGAACTATACAGTTCCTGAACTGTCTTTAACCCTATCAAACTTTCCTTAGATCTATAACTCTCATTGATACAGAGGGTGTCCTAAATAACACGTATGCTAAAGATATATTTAATGTAAATGGTAAGAGAATGTAATGGTTTTCTGCAAAACGTTGATATGATGCTTACAACCAAGAAACAAATACAAAAGCAACATAAACATAAAGAAACAAATTCTAAACTAAACGAAATATAAACGGACAACAGCTGTTCCCTGATATGCATTACCAAACAAAATCAAAAAATATTTTGCAAAGACATATTAAAATAGTCACTCATGCAATTCCCATGTTTATTGGGACACCCTGTAGATTAAGCTGTAGTAAAACCTAGGGTCCAGATTTCATAAAAAGTAAGAAGTAGATGAACTACGTATTACGTAAACAAAATTGAACCACTTATATTTCGTGCAAGTTGAAGAGTAGTGGTTCAACTACGTCAAGATAGTTCAACTACTTCCCGCAATACATGAGCTCATATCCCAGGTTAAACTGACCGCAAGGAATAGTTCCAAGTTTAGGAATAACGAAGAGCTTCCTTGTCTCCGCCAACACATCCTGTTTATCCATTAGTTCAGCAAAATCCAGGGAGTCAATACTAACACCCAGGGGAGCACCTATCTTCTCAAGTGCAGCTTTAGGCGTAGACATTTTTAAACTTTAGGTCCCTGAAGGAATTATGCCTTTGCCATAAATTCAAATTTTCTCATCCCTGTATCTTTGCATCCTGATAGTGTGCTCATTTAACATCTTAAACTTAGAGTATTTGGTCTAACAGAATTCATAGTTTGAAATATCTAAGATCTTAAACATTGGATTGCTAAGATGTTGAGATTAGAAAATCAGAGTTTGTGGCAAAGACTCAATTCTATTATACAAATTCCATTTAAGGATTGCACTGTCAAATGCAAACTGTAACTGCAGAATTTGTTTAGTTTTTGTGAAATTACACATAATTTAAACTAGTTATTTCTGCATGTTACCCACAAAGGATGAGACTTCAGAAACAACTAAACAACCTTTCATACCCTTTCAAAACTAAAAACATAAGTGCAAACTCAACCTTTAGATAGTAATATTAATAAAATTTTATTTGGTCATTAAAGTGAATTAGTGAATAACCCTGTACACATGGAGAAAGGTTAGTGTATTGACATTGTGCTGATTTATAAGGTTTCAACAAGTTATTTCTGAATTAATATTTCTTATTGATTGAGAAAAAGTTGGAAAGAAACTATCTAGAGAACTGCATGATGTGAACTGACAAGAATTTCAAGTTTAGAAAATAATTACCAAACCTGAATCCATCCTTATCCTTTTCATCAAACCCACCTGTTCTCCCTCTTATACAAAACATCCAAAACTTGTGTTTGAAGAAATAGGAATATTTCTACAGGGTTACTTACTAAGACGACTGAAAACTCTAAATTATACGACAATTTATGTCTTCAGCCTTGTCTTTAAATGGTTTATTAATTATTTTGTGATTTAACACATTAAGGAACTAGTTTACAGTTGCAGGGAATCATGAATATAAGGAAACTAAATTTTTAGTGTTTAATATTCGATTTAATCAGTTATGCTTGATTCTATATAGACTTAGAAATGGGTTTGAGGTGGAATTGTGACTTAAAATGCGTCTTAAAGTTGTGCCTTAGAAAAGTGTCTTAGACATAATTATCTTAGGAGTTTGTCTTTAAATGGTGACTTAGAATGAGTCTTAGTCATAGTTGTGCATTTAAATAAGTCTTTGACAAAGTTATGACTTAGAATGCTTCTCAGACATGATTTGATCACAAAAGTGTGGTTTTATCGTGACTTAGAATGTGTCTTAGACATAAGCATGTCTCCAAATTGAGGATTTTTCTAGAATTGTGACTTAGATAGTATCTTCATAATTTGGTCTCAAAAGTATGACGTTGATGTATTTGTACAATTAGGTGTTTTGTTATAAAATAAATTCAAGGAAAATGTTCATATCTTTTGCTTCCTCTTTATCCAAAAATGTTTTCCTGAACAGTAATAAATGGTAATTTCAAGTATCCTTGTATTTATAGTGTGGCATGGAAATTTCTGTCTTAGCAAAAATAATTATTTTTTCTCGTTTTTGCTAGTTAAAAAATTATGATTTTGGTTTCGTTATAAAAATAATTTGCGAATGGAAACGACGAAAATTTCCTTTATTATAATATAAAAAAAGGTTTGAAGGGTGCCATTATGAACAAGGCATGTCAGTTTTTAAGTTGAGGGACATATAAAATTTTGTCAACAGTCCCTCTTTATATTGAAGATCACTGTCTACCACTTCTACCGTTCTATATACGTATATATAATTCACGAAAACTGTCTTTCACTTCTACCGTTCTATATACGTATATATAATTCACGAAAATGTGTGTGTATTGGAGTACAAAAGGGCTCATGTAAAGGTTGATAATTTCGCGAAACAGTTTGAATCGAAATTTCGCGAAAAAAGCGAAAATTTTTTATTTTTTGCGAGCGAACGAAATGCGAAACTTGTTTGCAAAGAAAAAACAGTCAACAAACAGCCTTTTAACCACATGCTAAATTCAGCCATACAATTTTAAAAATAAAAAATTAACGAAAAAAAAATTTATTTCACTTGGGCATAGGAAATAGATAATAACAAGAGTTTGGTGAAAAATTGAAAAGTGTAGAACATTTAATTTACATTTACGCTGTAAGTATTACAATGCGATTTTACAAGAAATCAAATTATTTTAATTCCATTCTGGAATCATATATATACAATACAATGCCATATTAACAATAACAATAACAAAATGATTAGAGAAAAATATCCGAGATTACAGGTTTAATATGTTTCAAAATAACAATATATGGACTTGAAAAGAAACTTCTCTGTTCCTAAAGTTCCCCAGGTCATGTTATTTATAACTTCAAATCACATAATTACAAAATTTAAATTTTAAACTTCAAGTTGTGTGTCAAAACAAAACTTTCAAATAAGAGCCCACCTGTTTATGGTCGGTACTCGGTACACCAACTTTACTTGAAGATTAACAGTTTTAAAATATTGAAAGATACAATTCCAACGTAATACACAAAAAAAAGTTACCAGGCGAACGAATAAAAAAACAAGAACTACAACTTAAAAAAAACACGACATAAAATACCAAAAAACAAGAATTACAACTTAAAAAAAATACGACATAAACGACCAAAAAAACCCCAAGAATTACAACATGAATATGGAAAAGAATACAAAAAACCTTCACTCTGATGCAGGAACCTAGTCAGCAGCCTAGCACATGAAGTAAACAGGGTTTAAATATTCCTAAAACAAATAAATGAAAAGAATGATAACAGTTAAGGCCAAAACAATATGTAAACATAAAATAACTAGTTCTCTTGTTGGGCCTTTTTAGAGAAACTTCCAGATTCCTTTAGGAATGACGTGAAGAACTGGAAATTTTGTTCATTCCAACCAAAGAAATTTTCCTTGTAGGGAATTTAACAAATATTTTCAAAAACGGAGGAATCTCAATTTTCCCTGTAGGGGAATTTATCAAATATTTCAAAAAAGGGGGATCTCAATTTTCCCTGTAGGGGAATTTATCAAATATTTTCAAAAGGGAGATCTCAATTTTCCCTGTAAGGGAATTTAACAAATATTTAAAAAAAGGGGGTCTCAATTTTCCCTGTAGGGGAATTCATCAAATACTTTCAAAAAGGGGGAGTGTCTCAATTTTCCCTTTAGGAGAAATTATTAATTTCTTTCAAGAAAAGGGGGGGCGGTGTAAAATTTTCCCTGTAGGGGAATTTACCAAATTTTTTCCAAAAAGGGGGGGTAAGATTTTTTACTATAGGTGGGGTGAAGAAAAGCGGACTTGAACACCAAACTTCCCCCCCCCCCCATATATAATAAGTATGTTGCAAGGAGCGGAGAAATTAATTTACGAGTTTTCCGCTGGTGAAAATAAATTTTTGGATAAAAAGTATCAAAAAGGATGAAAACACTTCCTTTTTAGCTTCAGGTGTTCAATTTTTCACCCCACCCCCCCCCACCGGGAATTTTTAAAAATATATATCGATGCATTAGCATATTGGAGAAAGATAATTATTTGCGAGGTTAGAAAAAGGATGATTGTTCAAGAAATATATTAAACCATTTGAAGTGCTATGGGCCGTCAAATTTTAAAAACAATTTTGAAAAAAAAATTCGAATTTCGAAAAATTATGGGTTTCTTAAACAAAATCCGCCAATTTGGTCCAGCCGTTTGGCCAGCGATAGCTAAAATATAAATATATGAGCGAAGAGCTTTTTACATGTCTTAAACCTGGTTCCTTGATAAAATAAAATCGCTACCTCCTGGTTATGCTTGTATGATAATGTGAGATGAATATTCACGTTCTGTGACCCTAGCGCCATGTACAGCCAGGACATCATGAAACTAAATCAAGGAAGTTAGAAACTAGAAAAGATAAATAACAGAAAAAAAAATGTATCAGGGAAACGATAAATATTATCAAATCAAATCACAAGACTCCAGTCAGGGGTGTATATTTTCTTTAAAAATCATTACCACCCCCCTCCTGTTTTGAAAATAGTTTTCTCCACAGAAGTTTATAGGTATGTTAGAGCGCGAATACTTTTTGAGGGTGTTTGATGTCTAATTTTTCACCCCCCCCCCCGGGCTTTGTTTTGAATATCGTATTTAAGCAGATATAACTTAAACTCTCCCCTCTGGGATAATAATAAAAACAGTAAGTAAAAAATCATCAAAATAAAAACTATGACTAAAATATATTGAAAAATTAAAAACAAGGGGAAAAATGATTGATGAAAGCGATGTAAGAAGGTCTCATGTTGAAATGAAGATAGCAAAATATTAAAACTATGTTGACATAAAGAACATAAAGAACCTGATGTTATGCCGACCCACAATATGATAATCCGTCACAGTTCCCCAGGATAGTTCAAGATACCTACAAGAAAGAATCTATGTAAGAAAGTCCCGGGAAAAAAAGTTTCTGGAAAAAAACCTGGAAATAAAAACTTTGGAAAAAAAGTCCGAATTTTCACTGGAAATAATGTCCTGTGTTTTGGATTCCTGGGACTTTTTTTCCTAAAATAGTATGGGGGCTGCCAATAAAGTCTCAGGAAATAAGATCTCAGGAAAAAAAAATCCTGAAGAAAATAAATCCGAGGAAAAGAAAAACCTAGAAAAACCAGGAATTTTTTTCCATTGTGAATCATGCATTTTCACTTGTTAGAGGACTTTTTTCCGAGGACTTTTTTGTATACAATCATATTGGAGCCAGAAAAAAAGTCCTACAAAATAAAGTCTCGAATTGGTAGGACTTTATTTCCGGAGACTTTTTAATAAAAGGACTTTTTTCCACGGGACTTTTTTAGTGTGAAATTTTTGAACTTTTTTCTGGAAACTTTTTTTCCAAGGACTTTTTTGGCGGTTACCTAGAAGAAATGTTATTAGATTGTCTTTTCCTATTAAAAAATTACTTATTTCAGGGACTGTATGCGTGAGTTCACGTAACCCTCCATGCAAAAATGGCAATGCCCGATTTACATCTATACCCTCAAAAGCGTTGTCTGTTCAATTATGAATTACAAATGCATGTTTTTGTTTCTTAAAACTGTTAAGTGTTTTTTTTCATTAGTGGTTACTCTGCCACGTGACTTTCTTGCTTATAAGAAACAAAGAAGAAATCAGATATCAGATTTCGAGTCAGAAAAACGACGGTATCTTCCACATTATTTATCAGATTAAGGTGTTTAAGGTAACTTTTTAAATCTTGCATTGCTATCTGTGCATGAAGTGTCACGCTTACAGTCCCTTACCCCCCACTCTTTAATCAGGGGTATCAATAGATAGATCCTTAATGTAAACTATAAACAACTTCATACGTCCTTGGATTAATTTAATTTTATCGAAGATTTGTTTCAATTATATCTGACAGAAAAAAAACGTTGAAGTGATTTTGTTGGAGGCAACATTTAAAAATTTTAATCATCCATAAACCTTCCCTGGGGGTCATGTTTTTATTTTATAACCCTTATGATGTTACCTAAGTGCTTTAAACTGCCTGAGAACAAAAATAACCTCAGGCATATTGCTTGTACAGTCCTGTACGGAGAGGGGGAGAGATAATTTCTTCAACTCATGCAGTACACTTAGCTTTTGCAACTAAAATAGTATTAGTAAATATATCAAAATCCAAACCAAACCAAATCCAAACCAAATCCAATCAAGTCCAATCAAGTCCAATCAAATCCAACCAAATCCAGTCAAATCCAACCAAATCCAATCAAATCAAATCCAATCAAATCAAATCCAATCAAATCCAATCAAATCAAATCAAATCAAATCCAATCAAATCCAATCAAATCCAATCAAATCCTATCAAATCCTATCAAATCCAATCAAATCCAATCCAATCAAATCCAATCCAATCAAATCCAACCAAATCAAATCAAATCAAATCCAATCAAATCAAATCCAATCAAATCAAATCAAATCCAATCAAATAAAATAAAATCCAATCAAATCCAATCAAATCCAATCAAATCCAATCAAATCCAATCAAATCCAATCAAATCCAATCAAATCCAACCAAATCAAATCCAATCAAATCCAATCAAATCCAATCTAATCAAATCAAATCAAATCAAATCTAATCAAATCCAATCAAATCCATTCAAATCCAATCCAATCAAATCCAACCAAATCCAACCAAATCAAATCCAATCAAATCTAATCAAATCCAATCAAATCCAATTAAATCCAATTAAATCCAATTAAATCCAATCAAATCCAATCAAATCCAATCAAATCCAATCAAAGCCAATCCAAATCCAAATCCAATTGTAAATTACCTGTGCAGAATTGAGTCCAGTATAGCAGTTGACTGATTGAGGTTGAAGAACTAGCTCCGTTAGTCCCGGCATATAGGTTCCAATACTCTGAGTCAAGGTTGGATGAGCTCCAAGACTCGCCAGCTCATCCAGAAAATGAAATCTAAAAATATCCATAAAAAATAATTTATTAATTTCTTGATGACCACAGGTTTATTTATTAAAATCTCTTTTTTAAATTTAATTCCGGTTTTAAAATTTTTCTAAAAAATGATCATTTACCCCAATAAGCATTCACATATATATCATAATTGTTTTAGTAATACATAAACAATATTTAAGTAGAAAGTACCCTAGCGATATAGCTAAGACCTTTAAATATTCAGTAAAAGCCATGGGCTTTAAAAATGTGTCTACTCTTAATTGTCCTAGAGGGTTAGTGCCTCCTTTTCCAATCCCATCCAGTATTAAATGTATTAAATGTATTAAATGTATTAAATGTATTAAATGTATTAAATGTATTAAATGTATTAAATGTATTAAATGTATTAAATGTATAAAATGTATTAAATGTATTAAATGTATTAAATGTATTAAATGTATTAAATGTATTAAATGTATTAAATGTATTTGTAATAAAAAATCTGGTGAATTTTGCTTACTTTAGAGTAGGAAGAAGAGGGAAGGGTTCGTCTGTCTTGGCTCCGACAAGTCTGAGCGAAGTTAGGTTCTCCAGGTTCTTCATGAGCTCCGTGTAATCTCGAAGGGGTAGACCGTAGGTGTTACAGCTGTAGCTGGCGGGGAAGGATATATCCAACCTTGACAAGGAGACGAGGATTATTTCCAATCCTTCAACTCAGAAAAACAGGAAAAATCTTAATTTACTAAAAAAATATTAAACGGCTCCGAAACACTATATCTTGTAATTTCTAAGGCAATTATTCAATCATTGTATTCACAATTTTTTTTAGTAAATTAGCTGGATTTTAAAATACCCATCCCACCTAGTGTTCAATGATCATGAACGTTTTTAATTAAAATCATTCACAGCCCATATTCAAAATATACATTTTAGATTATGCATTTTGGCGTATTTTACTAGAACAATGTGTGGTTAGAACAAATCTTTCCAGTATTAAAAGGATAAAAACTTAATATAATTGTCACCTTGTGAGCTTGTTAGCAAGGATAACCCAGGACGGTTTCCTTATCATTTCAGAGAACCAATCACGGTTAAATCTTCGGTCCAATTGGTAGCAAAGCTCCTCCTGCATCAGAATCAGAATCAGAATCAGAATCAGAATCAGAATCAGAATCAGAATCAGAATCAGAATCAGAATCAGAATCAGAATCAGAATCAGAATCAGAATCAGAATCAGAATCAGAATCAGAATCAGAATCAGAATCAGAATCAGAATCAGAATCAGAATCAGAAATCAGAATCAGAATCAGAATCAGAATCAGAATCAGAATCAGAAATCAGAAATCAGAAATCAGAAATCAGAAATCAGAAATGAGAAATGAGAAATGAGAAATGAGAAATGAGAAATGAGAAATGAGAAATCAGTATTTAATATTCAGTGTTAGTATCAATATCAATCGTTACTGTAAACATTCTCATTAAATATAAAAATATCATTTTTAATAACATTAACTTAAGATATAAATCAGTAAATATGATATCAAATGTTGAGCGCAAACCTGCCAAGCAATTGACAACCTCTGAAGCTGTGGAGCCGATTCTAGAAGGTAGTGTGGTTTTAAGCTCCTATCCACGACAGTAATCTCCCTAAATGTTGTTTATAGGAGTTAGTTAGCTCCCTAAATAGGATCAAGTGGGGCTGTACTACGGCTATCTTCCAAAATAAAGAAAAAGAGAAATCAAGGACCTATAAAGTTAGCTCACTAAATATTGTTTAATAGTTAATAGTTAGCTCCCTACATAATGAAAAAGGGAGTTAAGAGCTCGTATTTACTTCAACTAGCTCCCTATACATTGTATCAAATACCTATAACGTGCTGTCTACCATATTACCACCTACATGCTACCATGAACCTAATATTACCGTGTCAAAGTACCTCCTTGAGTTTACCTAAGACTTGTAGCCAAAAGTGATGAACTGCTTGTTCCCTTATCCTCCTCCTGATCTCCGTCAACTTTTTCCTTGCGCATCCTCAGTTTCCTCTTTTCCTCTTCCATTTTCTTCTCGTGCTGCTTGATGGCAGTCTTAAAGGTTGAGTAGGCAAATACCTTAAAAAAATGGATTATAACATATTTGTTAAGATCTCAATAAAAAATAAGGAGATCTTGAACCAAAGATAAAAAAATATCCATAAACTGCATCCTAAGAACTGTTGGGGATTTCTTGAAAGCAATCCGGACAAATAAAGGGGGGTTTAAAACAGAATTCCTATTTAGAATTGAATATTAGGCAAAGTTTGCATTGGCCCGAAGGTAACATATTGGGTGACACGGGAATAAATAATTTTAAGAATTATACCTCTCCCCCGCGGGAATGATTCTTGAAATATTAAAAATTGGACATTTAAGTTTTATTTCATGAAGATTATCAAGAGGGGGGAATTTATTTTTCAAGAAAATATACACCCCTGGGCTGAAAATTTACAATTTAATTCTTACTTTTTCCCCAACACCTCCTTCTCCCCAAGGGACCCGTAGCAGACACCTTCTCTCGTCTAGAAAGGAGAACTCCTTCAGATTTTCCAAACTCCTAAATTAAATTATGATCCTTCATATCAAATTTTGATATCATGTATGTACAGAATTTAAAAGCTGACATAGTATATCTTTACTCTTTAACTTTTAAATGCTTATTGTGGCAGGTGGGGTTGTCTATAAAATGACTTTATAATATGTCTAATGACAAGGCAAATCAATCAAACCTCTGACATTTTCTGTTTCTTCCCCCCCCCCCAAAAAAAATACAAATGTTTACCTTAAAAGGATTGATGCATCCTCTTTGACAAACCGACTGTGCCTAAATCATCGAGACAATAAAGAAAATTCCAAGATCCAACAAAAAAAATGGTAATATCCGTCAAAATCCTTAAAATGGGTATTGTATGAACGAATTTGAAACCAAACAAATACTTGAGCAAGCATCTTCTTTTATTAATTGTCATTAAAATATATATATTTATCAGATCTAGATTATCAAAAATCCGTCGTAATTGTGTGTAAAAAAAGCCATTAAGCATTTTTGAAATGGTTAGGTTCTACTTTCGTAGAAGGCCTTGGAAGAATCCTTCATCATCAGCCTATGGACGGGTTACTGCAATACATATACATCCCAGTTCTATATTGAATTTAGAATCTGGTAAATTATGGATCCAACGAACCAGACAAGAAAAATTCCACCAAAAACTCATTATTTGACCTGTCAGGTAAAGGTACCTAAAATGATCATCAAGCATTTTTTTTGGCAATAGTCATTACGTCTCCTATATGTAACCTGTGTACACTATAAGCTTTTAAATGTACGCATGATACTGCGAAATTGAAGGATGATAAATATATGAACTGGAAAAGTAATTATAAATTAAAATCATTATATATTAATGCAAACTAAAATTGATACTTGTAAATAAAAAAAAATATATTCATTACATTGTACATTATCAACATGAAAGAGGAGTAGTATGACTAAAACCAGTCACTCCTCCCCCACCCCCCATGATCCCCTAAAATACTACAACGTGGGGGGGACATGGAAAACTCATTCAAAATATATTTTAAAGACTGGGGGTCGAGAGAAAGAGAAAGGGGGGTCAGTTTTACAATAGACGTTGTGACCCCCCCCCCCCC